AGGAATTTTATGACCTGGTAGTCTGTCTATCTTATATTTAGTCTATGTCTGTCTTATTTTAATTTATATTCTTATTTTATGAAAAATGATAATATGGAGTGAAATGAAATGAAGATTATTAATTTGAGACATTAATCAACTGGGGTGAAATTAAATGAAATAAGATGAGATGATATGGGATGAAATATAATCTCAGTAAAATGATGGTCATTTACTGAGATTTTTTCAGTTGACTTTTTGGAGAATCCCGAGAAGTTACGTCCAGCGGCTTTGTTTCATTTTCTCTCATTTGTGCACTTTCACAGATATTAAACAGTTAATAAATCACCGTTATTACACATTTAAACCTGAAGAAATACTAAATAGACAAAATAAAACAAATAACACAACTTCATTATCGTCGCTCATGGCAGTCAGCAATGTTAAGGGCACACCTAAGTCGCTGCTTCAAACCTACCTCTCAAACAGAAAGATGAGAACGAGGATTACATTGTAAATAATAACAGCCTTAGCCTTTTTCATCATAAATCCAACGCAGAGTCCTTTGAAAAACGGTTATTTTTATTTTACTTTTTCAATGAAAGTTTTTGTTAAAGTTATATTTCAACTGAAATCCTTGGTCTGTGTTCGTACGTAAATGGGATAAACTTTGAAGAAAATTTAATTTCTCTGACATCTAAATGGTTTTCTGACTTCAAACAAAACGTTAATCGCCCTCAGTCAATCGTATTTTTTATTTTTAGCTTAAGCATTTATTTTATCAATCTCACGTTTGACATTAAGGAGGTATGAAATTAAAAGTTCACGAGCATTTATGCATTCTTAACATTTGACGAATGGTGAATTCGAAATTATTTCGTAATAGCATATACTATTTTTGAAAACTTTTCGATTAAGAAGATTAATAATCTAATCCGGTGTACTCAAATAAACGTCCTCCGCATTTATGTCCTAATACATGTATCTAAAGTATATTTTGGAATATCGAAATGCCAATACTTGCTTATAAATTTATAATATCCTTATAATTCCCTCTATAATAATCTTATCGATGTAAAAGTACTTAAATACCGAATGATCATGGTTCTATACTCTTCGTATATACAAGTGTTACTGTGTTACTTATAATATTTTGTACTCAAGTTTAACAATATTTGGTATGTGTATGTGCATTACTATAATTCTCATGTTGTATTTGTTGTTTTAGTTATGTGTTATTTGTTCTACACACACTCATCACTTTTTATTATTATTCTCATTATCCTCTCGCAGGTCTGCTGGAAGAGATTTCTTAAAGAAATATGTCTTTTTTTCTGTGTGTACATAAATAAATAAAAAATAAATTAATTAATTAAATACCAGCTCGTAAACAATCTCTTTCTCGTGAAAAAGAATAAGCCAACCTTCACATTTATAATCTTACTAGAGAATACCGGTCACACTACTCAATCGCGGTAAAGTACATGTAAAATACACATATTTGTTGAAGCTACAGGCACGCTATCTGACGTGCGTTGATGGGACTATCCCATAAAAATTACGTAAGTACTCAAAACGACTATTCAAGGTTTCACTACGATCAAACGGACGAATAAAGAAACATTCGCTTTTAAATTATGTAGGTATAGATAATAAAGTCTACATGTCGCAAGTTTGTCAGCTGATTTTTTTAAGTGATTACTGGAGCCCGTAGACATCTACAACGTAAACGCGCCACCCACCTTGAGATATAAGTTCTAAGGTCTCAGTATAGTTACAACGGCTGCCCCGCCCTTCAAACCGAAACGCATTACTGCTTCACGGTAGAAATAGGTCCTACCACCAGTAAATTATTAGTCAATTCAAAATTTCACGAATTCCCGTTAATACAGGTTGCTTCAGAACAAACTATCTATAAATGTTTTATCGCCAGCTTGCAAGAGATTTAGTAAGTTTCGGAAGATAAAAAAAAACTCGCTAACGAGCGCCACAATTCCGGCAGAAGTTAGTCGGGAGCACCTCTACGGCGCTGGTCTCGATTTATCCGCTGTTCCAGCTTCGTGGATAGTTTTGGCCGCACGTACGCCTTGCGAGACGAACTTGACCAATTATAATTATTGTCATTCGACACCCGCACTTCGTGTCTAAAGGACATCCGGTATCCACGCTCGGGACGCGTCTTGCTGTTATCTTAATAGATTCAAAACTAGTCGGCTTGTAGCTCGTTTAACTAGAACAGTTATCTGGGTCAGCCTTTTCAGGAATACAAAGTTGCATTTAGCTTCGACTCAGCGCTCTCGGCTCTGATAATGTTAAACACTACATAAAATGCAAATCCAGGAATCTATTAGCAAACAAAAGTGTTAGAAACGTTCTTTATCACCCGATAAAATTTACAAATATATTAATCAATCTATATATATATAAATGAATTGCTGTTCGTTAGTCTCGCTAAAACTCGAGAACGGCTGGACCGATTTGGCTAATTTTGGTCTTGAATTATTTTTGAAAGTCCAGAAAAGGAATAAAAGGTAGATAAATATGAAAATGCTCGGAATGAAATAAAAATAACAATTTCGTTTTTCCTTTGATGTGCCCACCGTCGGACGGATTCCTTTTGTTTGTTTTAAGTTTATTTTTTACAAAAGTTTAGGTTTTTTATTTATCGATTGAGGCACTACGAAGTCTGTCGGTTCAGCTAGTATATTAATAAATTCTAAAGTATAAAAACGCCTTGTCCACTCCATGAAATTATTGAGCGTGCAACAAAATCATGCACTGTGATTATAAAGACTTGTAAATTGCTGCATGTATAATATACTATTGAAATGAAGGTAAAACCTAAGCCCGTTACATAAAGGACCTCGTTCGTGTTGTGTGCGTGTAAAATGAAACCACAAAAGTTTCACGAACCGGAGCAAACAACAAACTACTCATCGAATACAAACGCCGTCCTACAAATGCTTGGTCTGCACTATTTATAGTTTAAAAGGTTTCCATTTTATATACGGTTTCGTTGCCAAGTTGATGTCGTAACTAACTTACATTAATACCCGTTACCCGAACTTGTCGTTTGGATACGATGTTACATTTTTAATTTTCAAGTTTACGAACTAATAATTAACTAGTGGTCCTGCAGTAGTCGAAATTCGACTATGATTAATTGGAATTGTAAGTTTGTACACTATTATGATTGTATTTTATACTTCTATAATCACAAATTTCGCCAAGACTACACTATAAAAAATATTAACAAAGATAAACAATATTTAATCTATTCTCAATTTCACAACAGACGTCAAGAACAAAAGTTTGACAATAAATAGTATGCATGCGTGTGTGCGTCAAATACATGGTATGTAGTGTGTGTAATGTTTTCTTTATTGATTTCATGTATCTTTTATGCATTATTTTAAAAAAATATTAGCATTGTGCACTTCTTCTCTATATTCTCTATAAGTGTGGAAAATTTCCTACTCCTCCGTCCGCGCAATTTTCGTAAAAAGGGATACAAAGTTTTTGCTTCACGTATTAATATATAGATTTACGAATCTGATATTTCCTTTTGACATTTACAGACACAAATGTATAGATGAACTGTCGTAATATTTTGATAGTTAACAGTAACAGTTATTGATGATAAAGATTTCACACAAATCTAAATTATAAGACTGTTTGCCGTCGCTCAACTAGAAGTTTTAGTCGCATAAAGTCAACAAGAGACAGTTTGCGTAAGATAAATGGTTTTCAAATCCTACAAGCCCGACAGTCTGATCACAGTAGATAACGTGTTGATTGGTATTAGTATCCATCCTTGTTTGCCAGTACTTACTACATGCACGTATTTAAATTAAACAAAACTGTGATTATCATTATTAGTCTACAGACATCTCATAGACATCCAAGGTTCGTCACAATGACGAGTCCCGCTCGCATTTGGACATTTCCGGCGGCTTCAAAGCTAAGTTCTGGATTCACCTCATGGAAGACGTACCACACTACGCTGTCATATTTAACATTAAATAAATACCCATTCAGGTATATTTCGATATGAAGTCGTCGTGGGCTAAAGGACGTCCGGTGTATTCATGTTGAGCGATGCACCGGTATTCGAATCTCAGGCGGGTACCAATTTTCCTAATGAAATACGTACTAAACAATGTTCAGGATCGACTTCCACGGTGACGCACGGAATAACAACGTGTAATAAAAATCAAATCCGCAAAATTATAATTTGCTTAATTACTGGTGGTAGGACCTCTTGTGAGTCCGCGCGGGTAGGTACCACCACCCTGCCTATTTCTGCCGTGAAGCAGTAATGCGTTTTGGATTGAAGGGTGGGGCAGCCGTTGTAACTATACTGAGACCTTAGAACTTACATCTCAAGGTGGGTGACGCATTTACTATGTAAATGTGTATGGGCTCCAGTAACCACTTAACACCAGGTGGGCTGTGAGCTCGTCCACCCACCTAAGCAATAAATAAAAAATATAAATATGTACCCATTTAGGTACCTAGCCTTCAATAAGATAGCCTTTGATTGATTAGAAGATTAAACCGCATATCGAAGTACACACTCATAACCAGTTCCCAAATGTCTATAAAAATAAGTTTGCGGTATTTTGGTCATGTTGCACGCGGGGATACCAGCAATTTGGAACGCCTTGTGGTGTCCGGTAAAATCGAGGTAAAAAGGCTAGGGGTAGAGGTCCCAAACTATGGTCGGACCAAATAGCGGAGGGACTAAAAATACCTGTCAGCAACGCACTCTACTAAGCTACAGAACGGGATCGATGGAGACAGCTAGTTGACGGAATCAAACGGAGTCACGATCCTCAGCAATAAGGGACCGATTGAAGAGAGAGAGAGAGATCCAAATCGTATAAAACAATGGAACAATTTAAAAATATAAAAACAGATGTTCACCTATTTAAATAGCAAATAAGAAATGCGCTTAAATTAGAATTAAGTTGGTATTTAGCTGATTTTGTTTCACCGACTGACCTACTTACTATCTACAGGGTGTGCGCGATGTTCCTACCGGAGTTCGCAAGTTTCGTCGCCGCCATCTTGTTCGCCGTGCATCCGATTCACACCGAAGCGGTGAGTGGCCAACTGTCATAACCATTGATTTGTAATTTAGGTTAGTTACGTAACACGAGGCTTTAAGGGGCGGTTTAATTAAATGGAGATATTAGACGTCACTCTCGATTGTACTCACGGTCAGTGATAGCTTAGATATACATATTTAGTGACAGTTTGATTGCTCTATACAAAAATGATACGAATATTTTTTATCGATTTTGATATGTTCCAATTTTAGTTTTGTAACATATTCAACAACTAATTCTATCAAAAATCGTTAACCTGAAAATCTTATTAACTTAAAAACCAATTATCTATCTTTTAATAAAATTATTAAAACCTATTTTCCAATACAATACATAATAATAAAATATAAACATATAGCGGGTAGGTGTAGCTATAATGAACACAATATATTTGACAGAAGTCTGAATGTCACTAAGAACATTTTCAAGATAAGTTTGCATAAATACAAGTTCCGAACAATAACATTCGAATCATCTGTTGCGGAAGATCTTCCCTTTGTCGTTACTCTCCAAAAACACTATAGTTGTATTTACATTTTAATTCCAAACCAATTTATTTTTCACTTTTAACCAATCAAAAATTTCGTAATGCCTACATTGCCTACCCAATGGCTTTCCTCCAATTTACATAAATTTACTATACTTAAAAAGAAAAACAGGAGATAATTTTAAAAACCTTAAAATAAAGTGAGTTTTAATACGAGAATAAGCAACAAAAACAACATTTTAAGTTTTGGCATTAAAGAGCTCGATTTTAATGCAAACTTTTTATATTTTCTATAGCAACTATCTACTAACGTACATGTAACTTTACTTCACGTAACACGACAATGGCTTCAAGGAACTTCGCGAACGTTTTATGACACCAATTTCTTCCCGTGACAAGTGCCCGGCGTTGCGCTCCGACGGGAGCCAACACTAAAATTGAATCATTTTTATTCATGCCTCTGCAGTTTGTGGCGGCCATAACATTTTACTATACGGTAACAATGTAACCCGTCCCTTAAACTCGGTAAAAATTAGATCTCAAATTTTATTATAGAAATCATGAAACTTTATGTTTAATATTAGATTTCATTAGTTTATTTTCTTTTGTTTGGGTTATTATTTAGAGAATCTCGTAATAGAATACTATAATTAAGAAGTCATGAAGTTTTTGACTTATCAATGCCTCCAGATATATTTTTATATTTAAATTAAATAGATGCAATTTATGAAACTAGCAAAACTAAGCTTCGGATAAAAACTCTCTTAATTTTTGTCTAGCTTAAAAGGCTTAACTCTACATGTAAGCTTGGATTACTCAGAATGGAAAGCCCGAAAGAGTTACGGACCTAAAAATTAATTTTATTGTTAGAAAGTACAATTTGGCTACGATTTTAATTTATCCTACATTATTCTATATAACGTATTTTAATTGTAAGTTATTAAATACGTACAAAAACTGCGGATGAATCTTACTAAACAATCCACACAAAATTTTTGAAGAATATTTAGGGAATGAACTAGTGCTAGGAATGAAATAAACTAGCCCTCGAATGAACTGAGCCGTATTGTGAGATGTTCCCATCCGCTAGAAGGACGACTGCTACAAAATACAATTGTCGACTTTATTAACTGCTGATCAGAACTCATCTTGCTTTAAGAGTAAAAATCTGTAGAATATAATGTGAACTTTTAAACTACAAATTCAATAACTAAGAAAAGTCATTGATTTATTATTGTTCATTGACATTTTATTGAAAAAAAAAAAACGCTTATCGCCCAGGGGTGATATCTCTCAAATACTACTTTCTTGAACCATTTCCACAAACACATTACATCAATATACGCGAATCGTTTTTGTGTTTCTTAAAACACAGGTATCTAAAAACTATAATATAAACCAAATTAAATAATTTGAATATACTCTAATAATATATAAATATAGCTTATGACTATGAGAGAATTTTTAGAATAGAATAATGTAATATGTTTAATTGTATTTCGCAGGTTACGGGTGTAGTGGGAAGAGCCGAGATGTTGTCATCGCTTTTTTTCCTCGGAGCGCTCCTTTGTTATGCCAAAGCTGCTAATAGGCGAAGAAATACAGGTGTTTATTATTGACGATTGAAAACTAAGGATTATATTTAACCTATCACCAAGTTCTTGCTGGTAATGTGAAGCCCGCCATTCTGCCAACTTCCAGGCAGTCACCGTCGACGCCCTAGACACGTCCTTACGGATCCATCAGATCCAAAATAACCCTTGCATTAGACACGTTTAGTTCTAACACTAGGAGTAGGGACCCCGGTAACCGTACTCGTCGAACTCGGCAAAGAGTTCGACGAGTCGAGAGTTCGACCTAACACAAACATCAGCCCGCTTAGTTTCTCGCCGAATCTTCTCAGAGGGTCGAATTCCGATCCGGTAGTAGATTCATTCGCGAAGCAGCTACTCTTGAGTTGTTAGGTCTCCTTTGGAGGCGCTCGGGTAGCTGTTAGCAACTCCCACACTTCTTGGCTGAGCCCTTGCTCGCCCACCTGCCCTGGTAAAACTGGAAAGGCCTCCGGGCCCCCACTAATCTCTTAAGCATAAAAAAGGAAGGGATAGTTATTATGCTAGCCGTTTCTTAGCCACTTGCGCTCTTGGCAAAGTGGTCGTGGTCATTAGTTTGGGTGGGAGTGCGCTTCACAAGATGTCGCCATTCCTCGCATACTGTGGCTCTTCTTGTGCACTCTTTGATGGGACCATTTAGAGCTGCCTACATTTGGTCTTGTACCCTCAATCATGCCTTTACTAACCAATGTGTATTTCTCATAGATTGGCGCTACGTGGCTGCGTGCACTGCATGCGTGGGCATCGCAATGCTATGCAAGGAACAAGGCATTACTGTTACCGGAGTGTGCGTGGTGTATGAACTGTTAGTCGCACAAAAGGTAAAACTATGTTATATACAAAAGTTGGAATTTAAAGTACATATAAAGGGATGAAAGGCCATTTAGTTTAAGCGACATTTCGCTTAATACGCGATATTTATCTTTGTAATTAAAGAACCGTTTTATATGGGTATTAGCATCAACAGTTCGATGTTTTTGATTGAACTTCAATTGTGTTTACACCATTCAAATAAGCTGAAGAAGTTTTTTGTCACGATATTTTTTCCAAATTTTAAACTTTAAGACTCTCCTGTAAAGTTACAAAAATTTCTCTTAAACCACCCTTCATTATATTAATATACAAAAATAGGCAACGCAGATCCATCAGGTTTCAATAATTATTGCGATAGATCACACAGGTTCATGTGTGTTTTTTTCATTCTCCAATTTTTGTCCAATATTGTGTTATAACGTTAACTTTATTTTATATTTTGTACCAATTATTTGTTTTGTTTTAAATTATTATAGAATTTGTTCCGAGTAGCTTGCGCATATTTCAGACATGCGTTGAAACTTTTGCACGTTTAACCATTCTTTTTTTACGAGATTATTAAATAATGATCTCGTAAAAAAAGAAAGAAGAAAGAAAATTCTTTGAATAAGCTATTTGACAAATAAATATTAATTTGAACTATATCTATAGCTTTAGCGATTTAAAATTGTTGACCGTTAAATGGTAACCGATATTCTGAATCATGTTAACATGGCGTTCAGCCATTCAATAAATGAAGGCCTCTGAATATTTATTTTCAGCGTCGAAGCGCCACCGGCGAAAGCCGCTGGTCGTGGATGGACGCCTGGGGTAAAGGCTCCGGTTGGGGCTGCGCTTGTGGCGAAGCTGCAAGAAGGGTCGCCACAGTTTGTTGCGCTACGTTAGCGTTGCTGGCCGCGAGGTTACACGTTATGGGCGCGCAGCTACCAGTGTTCACCAGATTCGACAACCCGGCCGGAGCGGCACCTGGTCCGACTAGGTAAGACTAAAATTTTAAGCATTTAAATATTAGTGATTTAAAAAAAAATGTTTCCAGTTTTTTTAGACGACGACGACGACGACGGTAGACGACGTAGGTAGGCATGTGGCCCACCTGATGGTAAGTGATTACTGTCGCCCATAGACTTCAGCAATGCCAGGAGCAGAGCCAAGCCGCTGTCCGCTGTACCGTTAAGTACTCCACAAGCCTCGTTTGAAGAAGGATATGTCATAGCGCTCGGGAAACATCGTGGAGGGGAGCTCATTCCAAAGCCGGATGGTACGTGGCAAAAAAGACCGCTGAAAGCGCACTATGGATGAACGCAGTGGCTCCAGGTAGTATGGATGAACTCTACTCCGGTGGCGGGCGGTGCGATGGTAAAAACGAGACGGTGGTATCATCTCAAACAATTCCTCAGAGCAGAGTTCAATATCATGAAGATATTTCAGCTCAAGTAGAAACATATTTCGATCCCCGTAATGACCACTCAAATCATAACAGGAGCGTCTCTTGCGGCGGTCATCTTCGGAACAGATGATGGCATCTTTTTCTTTATTACTTAGAGTAATGAGGGTCGAGGGTAATGGATGGCTTTGACAAGCAGTTTAGTGTACGGAACGACCCGGCGGTGCTGCTGAGCTACATTAATTTTACGAGCGTCTTCATTACCCGCTCATTGTTTCAGGTTCGGTTTTATTTACAGCGAACTTTGCTCAACGATGAACTAGCGGTTGAACTATTTTAAAAGCCAACAAACATAGTCGTGCTCTTTTGTTTTTAATTACAAAAATAAACAGACATTCTTATTTATACCTCGATATGGACGTTATTTGCGTATTATTAGTTTTTAATCAACATTTTCGGCAGTGTTCTGCTACTTGAACTAATCGGTCCCTTTTTTTTTTCGTTTCTAAGCTAAAGCCTTGAGAGGCTATTTCAGCGTAACCTTAACTAGTAGGTGAGCTCATGGGGTTCAAACCTGACGACGTTGCTAACACGAACCCTATCATGGCCGTGCTTCGCAGAATCTACCACCGGATCGGAAACGCGACCCACTGAGAATATCCGGCGAGAAACTCAGTGGGCTGTGTCTGTGGGTTAATTTACTCGTCGAGCCCTGCGTCGCCAGCGACGGGTTCGACGAGAACGATGACCGGGTCACCGGTCTCCTGTTAAGTTGTTAGCTAATAAACGTCACAGCGTGAAATAATCCGATTAAGTAACACAGAATTTAATTTTTCGTTTCAGACACTTGACCTTCGCCTATTTACCGGCGTTGAATGCTTGGCTCTTAGCATTACCCGAAGCCTTATGCTGCGACTGGACCATGGGCACCGTAGCTCTGGTGAAATCGTGGCGAGATCCTCGGAACCTCGCCACGTTGGCGTTAGCTGCAGTTCTCGTTGCCGCGGCAATTCATGCCTTGCGCACGAGATGTTCCGCCTTATCCATGGTGAGTGATCGAAGAGGAATCACAGTTTTCAGAGATAAACCAATAAATTTACAGTCCACAGGTTTTTAAGCGGCTTTTTAAGTCCATAGACACTAAAGTCTAAATATCGCCACCCATATTGATACTTGAAGCACAGTAAACGCTGTATCGTTCTCATACATGTCAGCTTCGCGGTGGAAATTAACATACTAGAACCAGTTCATGCTAGCCCAAAGTACGTCCTACAACCAGTACACAAGATTGGAATTAAAGGTAGAATCCATCAGAACAATAAGTTGAAGATACTAACTACTAGTAGGGACATGTGCTTGAGAATACTAAAGGATCTTCTGAGCAGTGATCGATCTGACTATTATGAGCGTCGTCATCTAGCCTGGTGCTTACGGTTTATATAAGTAATAATGAACAAATAGTGCGGAATAACTACACTTTATATCCCGGAGACGGATCCGTGTTCAACAGTGGACCTGTCCTGATCCTATAAAAAATCCCAGGGCTCAAATATGTTCCATATAGAATTTCATTAAAATATAATAATACAGTACCTGGCAATGAATATTGCACATCGACTTTTAGAAAGAAACGATCTGTTAATTTCGTAATCGTAGCTATTACTTAAGTGACGTCAATTGCTGTTCAAGTGTCGTAGTGTGCGGTCCTTTTTTTATTTTGTTTTATTGCTTAGATGTGTGGACGAGCTCACAGCCCACCTGGTGTTAATTGGTTACTGGAGCCCATAGACATCTACAACGTAAATGCGCCACACACCTTGAGATATAGTTCTAAGGTCTCAGTATAGTCACAACGGCTGTCCCACCCTTCAAACCGAAACGCATTACTGCTTCACGGCAGAAATAGGCGGAATAGGAATAGAAATAGGTCCTAATAGATAATTACAATTTATGTTTGACGTGCAACAGAGATAACGCTCCAAGAAGCCGAAATTAGCCGATTGTCTCATTCCAAAAGTCGATGTGCAGTATTTATCGCCGGGTACTATATTTATTTTTCCCTATTTTCAGGGTCTGGCTTTGCTAGTCTTACCTTTCTTGCCAGCATCTAACCTTTTCTTTCCCGTGGGTTTCGTGGTGGCCGAACGAGTTCTTTATATGCCTTCGATGGGTTGGTGCTTGTTGGTCGCACACGGATGGAGAATAGTCGCGCAGAGCCGAGCCAAACTGGCTGCGGCCGCTCTCATATTTCTCCTTCTGGCGTTCAGTGCCAAAACGTACATGAGAAACTGGGATTGGAAGACTGAATATTCCATCTTCGCCTCCGGATTAAAGGTGGGTTTTGTTTTTTAACTGCCAACTAAAACTAAGCCAACAAAATACCTGATCATAAATGATTACCGTCAATTTTGGACATATTTTCAAGAGTAATGAAGTTCCTGTACTTTTTTATTTATTGCATAGATGGGTGGACGAGCTCACAGCCCATCTGGTGTTAAGTGGTTACTGGAGCCCTTAGACATCTACAACATAAATGCGCCACCCACCTTGAGATATAAGTTCTAAGGTCTCGAGTATAGTTAGTTCAAACCGAAACGCATTACTGCTTCACGGCATAAATAGGCAAGGCGGTGGTACCTACCCGTGCGGACTCACAAGAGGTCCTACCACCAGTTCAATACACTTAAAAATCTCAATTTCGTTTTGTACAATAGAGAGAAACATATTTTATTTGTATTGAATTATATTAATGTTGTACAGGTAAATCGGTTTAATGCCAAATTATACAACAACGTTGGACACGCTTTGGAAGCCGAAGGTAAATATTCCGAAGCGTTGGACTTCTTCAACACCGCAGTGAGCGTACAACCCGATGACGTGGGAGCCCATATCAACGTGGGCCGAACTTACAACCATTTAGGCAGATACCAGGAAGCGGAAGACGCCTACGTGAAAGCGAAGTCGTTGCTACCGAAAGCGAAACCCGGTGAATCGTACCAAGCCAGGATAGCGCCCAACCATTTGAACGTCTTCCTCAATCTGGCCAACTTAATATCTAAGAACGCAACGAGGCTGGAGGAGGCGGACATGCTGTACCGACAAGCGATCAGCATGAGGGCCGATTACACTCAAGCTTATATAAATCGGGGGGATATTCTGATCAAATTGAACAGGACAAAGGAAGCGCAGGAGGTTTACGAACGCGCCTTATTATACGACAGCGGCAATCCGGACATTTACTATAATGTAAGCATCCTTGTGTATTTTTTATACAGTTGTATTCCTTGGAAGTGCTCTGAGGAGTTCTTCGAGATAATCCGGACAAGTCTAACCCCGAGACTGCTATGTTCCACAGTTGCAGGTCGAGAGTGACTCCGCTATGAACCGACCACGGCGTCTGATGATATGTCTTTCTTCAAAGGAGATATGAAAGGCTTTCAACTCAACCCATATCCATGAGTCAGGCTGTCATCAACGACCATAAAATAAATATAGATTAAAAACTTGAAGAATATGCTTACAGGCTGTCATCAGCGACCATAAAATAAATATAATTTAAAAACTAAAAGAATATGCCTTTAAAATAAATAAATATATTTTTTTTATTTAGGTGATCCTGGTCACGGTGTCCATTAAACTAATTATTGGACCGAATTTTTTATTTGATTGATTTTTTTATTTTGAATTGAATTATTGAATCTGTCCTTGATACGTTTGCAAAATTTTCAAGTTAATCACAGGTCATGAAGTTATTCATAATTCTTCTTCTTCTTCTCAGTCGGACACTCTTGTCAGAGTGGTCGTGGTTGCGTTGACGCTGTATGTGCAGTAGGAACTGTTAGGTCGCCCATGCTCCCGACAACCGCCCTCCAGGCAATGCGCTTCCAGGTCTGGCGGTTCGAAGCGTTACGAGTACATTCGACCATAGTGGACTCAGTTGCCTTCTTTATTAGGTCAGTCCAGCGGGTCGGTGAGCGGCCGCGTGATCTTCTGCCTTCCACCCGGCCCTGGACTACCAGTCTCTCCATCGAGTGCTCTATTCTGGAGATGTGACCAAAGAATTTTAAAACCCTCAGTTGCACTGTTGAAATTCATTATTCATAATTACTTTTAAAAAAATCCCTTAAATATAACATACATAAACAGATGGAAAGATTTCATCTTAAAACCTTTGTAGGTTTTTTAGAATTATTATAGAATTAAAACGAAAACGTACATCTATTCGCAGTTGGGAGTTGTCCTTCTAGAACAAGGGAAGGCGTCCCAAGCTCTCGCTTACTTGGACAAGGCATTAGAACTTGAACCGGAACACGAGCAGGCTCTGTTGAATTCCGCTATACTCCTGCAAGAATTGGGAGCTGCTGATCTACGGCATCTCGCCAGGCAGCGACTGCTGAAACTACTCGATAAGGACGGTAAGCTATTCGCATTTCCTTAGACTCTTAAATGTATCGATACGAATTTCCTTAAACTAGTAGTCCCGCAGTAGTCCAAATTCGACTATAACTAATTGAAATTATAAGTTTGAACATTATTATGGACCTATATAATTCTTTAGTAACAGATTTCGCCAAGACTACACTTTGGACAAATATTATTAGAGACAAACAATACATATTTAATTTATTTTCAATTTGATCACAGGCTATAAGCGATAAGAAAAGTTTGACAATAAACAAATAGTATGCATGCGTCTATGTGTTAAATACATGCTATAGTGTGTAATGTTTTTTTTAATTGATTTAATATATTTTTATGCATAATTAAAAAAAAACATTATCTTTGACAATAGAATCATAATAGTGTACAAACTTATGATTTCATTTAATTATAGTCGAATTTCGACTACCGCGGGACCATTATAATAATAAATAGCTGAAAAATATAATAGTTTGTAAATAATATATAAAAATAAAAGTTGTTTTATATGCAGACGAGCATACGGCCCACCTGATGGTGAATGGTTACAATCGCCCATGGACTTCAGCAGAGCCAAACCGCTGCCAATATATGTCTTGAAAATGTCGTCGGCGCGTTAAAGTAGGCCGATCTATCAAATTTTTTTCAGCTACCAACGAACGCGTGCACTTCAATTTGGGCATGGTGTGTATGGACGAGGGCGACGCGGAGTGCGCCGAGCGCTGGTTCCGGGCGGCCGTTCACCTCAAGCCCGACTTCCGGTCGGCGCTATTCAACCTGGCGCTGCTCCTCGCGGACCGCCGCCGCCCCTTGGAGGCCGCCCCGTTCTTGAAACAGCTCGTCCGACACCACCCGGACCACGTGAAGGCGCTCGTGCTGCTCGGCGACATTTACATCAATTCCGTGAAGGACTTGGACGCGGCCGAGAGCGTGAGAATTTCTTTTATAGTAACATTAACTCGTCTATGGTATTACAGATCAATAATTGTCAGAAGGAGTGGTACACGACAAGAATAAAAGCCGACTATGTCAAATTCTTTTTACCGATGATGTTTTTTTTTTTGGAACGAAGTTCCTTATGGGACGATGCGGAGGGGTACCCTAACCGAGAAAAAACGTCCGTAACGTAAGATTTCTATTAGTAATGCACACAGTGTACGACTTAACTTCATAATAACGTAAAAAAAATAACATACATAGAAATATTTCTACTGTAGAGCAGTAATGCGTTTTGGTTTGAATGGTGGGGCAGACGTTGTACTTTAAAAACTGAGACATTAAAACCCATGTCTCAAGGTCGGTAACCACTTTAAACTTGGCCGTGAGCTCGTCTACCCATCAAAGCGAAAAAGAAAGGAGTTTCAAGTAATACTAACTGTCATTAATTCGTTTACATAGATATTGTCTAACATTTTTTTTATTGCTTACATGGGTGGACGAGCTTACAGTATTCAATGGTTACTGGAGCCCATAGACAACTAGGTCTAAGGTCTCAAGTATAGTTACAACGGCTGCCCTGCCCTTCAAACCAAAACGCATTACCGCTTCACGGCAGAAATAAGCAAGGCGGTGGTACCTACCCGCGCGGACTCACAAGAGGTCCTACCACCAGTTTTAAACATTTCGTTCTCGTATTCAGTGCTACCGCCGCATACTGGAGTTAGAGCCGGACAACGTGCAGGCCTTGCACAACTTGTGCGTGGTGGCCGTCGAGCGCGGGAAGCTGGCGGTTGCCGAGGAGTGCCTCACCAGGGCGGCAGCGCTCGCTCCTCACGAACACTACATACAGCGACATCTCGCGGTTGTGAAAGCGAGACGGGCAGCTAACACTTCTGTCCCCTCGAAGTCAGAACCGCCCGCACCCACCGCCACCACTGAGGTGCGAGCGAGATGGAACTACATCCCGCAGCAACCCCCCGATCCACACGAGACTGACGCGTCATAGCGATATGTTGATTTAACTGTGTAAAATGTAAATAGCGTTAACGTGTTTTAAGGCAACGTTACGCGTCGAGTCGCGTTCGGTAACAACTTGGAAATTTTATAATGGTCATTGAAATAACTTAAAATAGACTATCCTCTAGGAATTGTCAATGAGTGTAATGTTGCCATAAAATGCGAATGTATATTAGAAAAAAAAAATCCACAAACACCAAGTACTTACCGGCCAAAAGGCCAATGTAACCTGCCCGATAAATTTTCTTCTTAGTCGCAATTTTGATAATCATCAGGGTAACTCCAGCTTAACTCATCTCTAACTCTGTGTTTCCTGTATGCTACAGTCTATTTTTTATATCTTAACATCTGTATTGTGCTCGGTTTAATATCAAATAAATCAAATCTCAATTACGTTTTATTTCCATAGACTAAGTTAATGTGCATTTAAAAGTAGATGTTTCATTAGGGCGTTTAAACGTTAACGCGACTAAGTATGTTTTTTCTTTATCTATTTTTGTATTATAATTATGATTGGATATGCTATAATACGTAGAATGTGTTTATGCGAGCTTTCGTCACTAGCCTGGTTGGTATACGGATATATTGAGAATTACTTGTACATTAAATTAACATACCTACATTTATAGGAGAGAAGCGAAAACTGAAGTGAATCTAGTCACAATGCAATCGACTTTATATTTTATTTCGGTGTTATTTTGTCAATCGTGATTAAATCTAAAATTTATTTACTACATTTTCACCAAAAAAAAAAAAAAAATGAAATATTATTTTTATACTGGCAACACTGTCTATAATCCATGTTTTTTATAAGTTAAAGACAGCGGCGTTACTATGCCCCCAATTTTTGTTCAAACATTTTTTTATAAATAAATGAGCAGTAAAACTATAGAAAGTAAATATATAATGAAAAAAAAATGAACAACGCATTGTTCTAAATGCCCCATGCTTTGATTAGACGTTGGGAGTAGCGTTAGTACCCAAGAAATAGACCTGCCCACCAACTTGTAAAAATTATGTATTTAAAAATGATTTTCATTCAGCTGCCTACGTTACCATGTTGGGTAATCTATATGATAGCCTATTTGCCATTCATGTGCTAGTCGTGGACGTATATTGATCCATATTTTCAAAAAAAGTTCTCAAACTTTCTGCTCTAACAAGGCAACTGAATGTAAAATTTAAATTCTACTTTGGACTTTGTACGTCAGTTCTAACTCCTTCTACGTTGTCTATATATATATATATACATATATATATTTATTTATTCGACAATCTAATAAATATTTTCATATTAACTACAGTTGTATTTAAATAAATATATAAAAAAAAAAAAAACGAAAGTGATGAACCGTTGTTAGAATTAGATGTGAAAATGTAACGTTGTTAATGTTTTAAGATAAATAACGTAACTTTTGTAAAAACTGAATTTTTTACAATGTCTTGAAACATTTCCGGTGTGAACTCTAGCGGGAGTTGGTGAATTCGTAAGGACCCCGAATATTATAAACTATTTGTCGTCAAAACGTTTATTTTTATAAAATAAAAGATGTTTCAAACTACAACTTGTGTTTTTGTTGCACCATGTAAACGCGCCTTCCTCCTGGTAACCCGCGAAGAAGACTAACAGTCGCAATTAGACTTCAATGCTTTTGAAAACATAGAACATATATTTAATCATTTATGTATGAAACATACGAAAAAGGCTGCGACTCAGCCAACAGAACCTTTATGTTTTACTACACTCTGGAGGTTTTTATTCTAAATTCTGGGAAATTTCAGATTCCTCCGTCCGCGCAATTTTCGTAAAAAGGGGTACAGTTTTTGCTTCACGTATTAATTTTTTTATTTTATTTATTGCTTAGATGGGTGGACGAGCTCACAGCCCACCTGGAGTTAAGTGGTTACTGGAGCCCATAGATATCTACAACGTAAATGCGCCACCCACCTTGAGATATAAGTTCTAAGATCTCAAGTATAGTTACAACCGCTGTCCCACCGAAACGCATTACTGCTTCACGGCAGAAATAGGCGGGGTGGTGGTACCTACCCGTGTAGACCCATGAGGTCCTACCACCAGTGATACATAATTATAGATATTACACTATACCTGAGTATTTATGTATGTATAACAATTATGCTGGTACAGAAAACGTGACTCCACTCAACAACGGACCATGAAGTCACAGATTTAGTTTATAGGTACTTTCATACGATCAGTTTGGCCAGTTACGTGGCACAAGGCTTCGTATCGTTTTTCCCTTTGGCCTCAGTGAGTTAGAATAGGGTACTTGATACCTGCCGGAGGCCGGAGGAGGGCGTTTGTCCAGCTCCAGCCCCTATGAGGAGGCAGTCTCCTCCCGGTGATGGTCACGGGGCAATCTAAGGGGGTTGAGGCTGCGCCGCACGCTACCGTCATTCTAGCGCGCTAGCACCAGGAGGACGGGACGGCGCGTCGGCGGCTGCGGACTGCGATTCGGTCGGGCGTCCTCGGGGTGGCGCCGCGTGTCTGGTTGTAGTGTTGACCGCGGGAACCCCCCTACTCTGAACGGGTTCTGACCCCGGACGGAGATCGGACGTCGGGTGTAAGAGTGCAGGGGAGTCGTTTAGTGGGTGGGCCCTAAAATCCTTGGGCCCGCGATCTGCTCTCAACACCTTCAGATCGTTGAGTCTCACATACCCCGCGCGCCCCCTAGGCGCGGGGACCTCGTAGGAAGTTCGGCCCCCGGCCCGAAAAAAAAAAAAAAGGGTACTTGATACCTCAAAATAAAGGTAGGTACAATTAATAGCAGGTTAATGATATCTCACTTGAACCAAGATCCGCAGTTGGCAAATGTAGTATGAGATGGGTTGATGCCAGTCAAGCTTTGATGCGTACGAATACGGTGTATTCAGAATCGATATTAATATCAATTTTAATTCTACTAAAGTTCAGTATTAACATCGTTGCCTGGCCTTCTTCGTAGTTTGATGAAATCGAAACTTCCAATTGTAATACGATTAAATAAAAAAAAGTAAGTTATATTCACTTCAAAGGCATCCTTGATCTAATTTATTTGGACATCAATACTACCAGGAACATGGCTGAGCCGCCGTCGCTGTGGATTGATTTCAAATTTCGTTCGAAAAAGGCCAGATTGTACTAAAAAGAATATTTTTTATTTTTGTAGCGAAATCTAGTCTACTTCAACATTTTAGTTTATTTTACTATCGCATCGTAGGGTTAGAGCTTAACTAGATTATAATAATATCAAATACTAAATAAAGATTTATTAGATCTTAATGCCTCGTCATTAAGCCACTTCATGTATCGTGAATGAAGTTTACTGCACAGAGGTGCCACAAAATTTGAGAAGAGTTTTAAGTCAATGACCCTATCAGTTTATATTGACTTGAACGTGACATCTGTGTAACGTATTTTACTTCCTACTTTATTAAGGTTTTAGAGGGTATTTTAAAGGGTATTTAGGTAACTGTTATATAGTTAAAATCATAGTAATTAGTAATTATAACAAGATATTAGAACAATAAAAAAGAAATAAAACAATTTTTGCGTAAAGGATTCACTATATTTTTTTTGTACAGTGAGCGTTTTACAAATTTAAAACAATTGCCCTTTTCGATACAACTTAAAATAACTTAATCGCTTTGACTATACAAGAGGGGTAAAATATCGTGTTTTTTTTTAATAATCTAAAAAAAACTGGTACATACATATTATATTTACGGTAATGTCCGTTCGAAACAAATATTTAAACAGTCTTCTGCCGAGTAAAGACGACGACACGTGTGTTTCAAGTTGTGCATTATTAAGCACTGCAAAAGAACTTAGCATATCAAATGGTTTGAACACCATCACTCGTATCATCAGAAGAGGACTATTAGTTTATTCTTTCAAAAGACTTGAAATTATATTCTTTGAAAACGTAAACGGATTTCAAACGAACAATCAGACAGTAAACGAAAAACAATGAGCGAATTAATTTTATTTGGAATTGAATTTTTCAGAAGAAATCATATACATAACCTATATTGTAGTACCTAGCGCAGCTACTAATAAGTACTATCACGGGTTGCAGTCGTTTTATGTACAAAAACACATCGCTGGTATCATGCAAACAGAAATGGCGCGAGACAGACTCTCACTAAACAAACAATTCACAAAATATAAAATTTCGTAACTTAATAACTAAACGCGATTTATAAATTATATCGAAATCAAACAAAAGTACATATTTAATAAAGGAATATAATTTAACTATACATAATCGACACAAAACAACAACAATACATTCGCTCCCGACTTCCTTACGTCTATGCTAACTTAATAAGAAATACTTTTTGACTTACATTATACGTGATACCGAAAACGTCTGTATCGATTTGTTCCTGAAAATATTGCTTGAATTACGATTTTATTAAACCACAGGGCCACACCATTTCCGACCTTCAGTGTCCGCTGACTTATGTAGACGCAAGACAATGTATTGGGCGCCATGACACTTTTTGATTTTACTTTCATGGTACGATATTTTGGCGGGAGAATAACAATTTTTTTGAACTGCCAATTGTCATATTGTCTACTTTTTTCCTTGTATCTCGAAGAAGTTCGTATCAAGAAAAATAAAAAAAATCAACTGTTCGCTTCTTCATTGTCAACGTAAGATCATAAAATAACGTCAGTTTCGTTTACAAAAGTTTGCAACAATTAAAAGTCATTTTCATGTTAAAATTTTTGCCATTCAAAATCTGTTCAACATTCGTCATCTGAGAACTAAAGATAATCATTTATTTGTTGAAGAATACATAAAATTACGAGGATTTTTTTTTTAAAACGACACAGGTGTTTGGGCGTTTTTTTTAAGCTGTAAATAAAACTCTTTGACACCTCGTTTCTCAGATGACAAACAAAAAATCGTACAAAAATATCTTGAGTATTTGAAAGTATAAGTAAAATCTGTGAATCAGAATTAAATTTGTAAAAACTATAACACGCTACAGAACAGAAGATTCACTCCTCAATCTTTCGTTCAAAGACCCAGCCTCTCTGACACCTGATCGTACGTCAAAACGCTTCGTAAATTTACGACCCTTCCTTGAATGGCGACGACGACCCCCCCTAACAAAAACAAGATTACAATTTCTATTAAAATCAATCAACCAGTGCTCCCCAAACTCGGAGCACAAAAATAAATCATCCCCTGAATAATGAACAAAACAAATCAGTAATGTATACAGCAACCGCGTAATACATTTGGCTGGAAAAAAAGGGGGAAAGACTGTCGCGCACTTTCATCTTCAAAATCGAGTTAAATCTCTCTGTCCTGATTTTAGGCTGTATCGACAGCGATCACATTATTTCAATTGTATTCTTCGTCTGCATCGAAGTCTCCGCCCTCGTCCTCGATGGCGGGGACGACAGGCGGCTGTGGCGGCGGCTGAGCTAACGGACCTTTCTTGTACGCTGTCATTTCCTAAAAGCAAGTTTGAAAAATTTAATATTCAAAGGTAATACTGGCGTGTCGGTTTTTTTTATTGCTTAGATGGGTGGACGAGCTGACAGCCCACCTGATGTTAAATGGTTACTGGAGGCCATAGACATCTACAACGTAAATGCGCCACCCACCTTGAGATATAAGTTCTAAGGTCTCGAGTATAGTCCTTCAAGCCGAAACGCATTACTGCTTCACGGTAGAAATAGGCAGGGCGGTGGTACCTATCCGCGCGGACTCACAAGAGGTCCTACCACCAGTAATTACACAAATTATAATTTTGCGGGTTTGATTTTTATTACACGATGTTATTCCTTCATCGTGGAAGTCAATTGGTTTATTCCTGATCCGATCGAGTTGAAACTTTATACGACTGTTGTTAGCATTTACGAGAATTTTATCGTCATATTAGCAACAATAGCCCACTGAGTTTCTCGTCGGATCTTTATAGTCGATCGCGTCTCTGATCCGGTAGATTCTGCGAAGCACTACTCTTGCTAGGGTCAGTGTTAGCAACTTCGCCAGGTTTGAGCCCCGTGAGCTCACCTACTCATTCGGTAACGCTGATATAGCCTCCCAAGGCTTAATTTAATTTAATTAAATTAAGCCTTGGGAGGATTAATTAAATTTAATGTTTTAATTAAATTTAATAAGTAATAGTTTAAAAAAACTAAGAAAATACCCCTTTATAGAAACTCCAACTAAAAAATAGAAAAAAAAATTTTTGAATGAAAAATAGTGTAAGAAAAAATGGTTTTATGTAAAAAATGCGTGGGGTGCATGGTATCAGTAGTTATAAATATTTTATGAACTGATATGAGTAGAAGAGTTATTTTGATAATATCCTGAAAAGCACCCCACGCTTTTTTACAATAAAATCATTTTTTCTTACAATCTTTTTCATTCAAATTTATTAAAATTTATTTTCTATTTTTTAGTTGGATATTCTATAAAAGCGTATTTTGTTAGTTTTTTTTAAACCATTATTTATTTTTTATGTTTTAGTTGAATTTCAATTTTTTAAATATTGTATTGTCATCGGTCCTTAATAAGTATACCAAATTTCAAGTTAATCCGACGTTTTGAAGGGGGTCAAAATCATGTTCAAAGATTCCGTTACATACTAACATACATACGTCTGAAGCATATTAAAATAGCACTCACCCTATCATATCGCGCCTTGTCTTTTTCAGATAGCGCGTCATATTTAGCCTTAGTTTCCGGATCAGCGGCCGCCCAACGTCTGCCGAGTTCCTTCGCAATGTCGCCCATGGTGTACTCTGGGTTGCCAGCTTTCACCTTCGAACGTTCATCATTGCAAAACAGAAAGAATGCTGATCTGTAAACAAAAATTTCAGTTATTTACTTATAACTCCAAAACTCTATTACAAGATTATTTTCACAAAAGTTTCACTATTCTTAATATTGTGGATCTGGTTTGCAGAGTGTGTAAAATGACCTAAAGGATAAGACGCCTGGTATCGAGTGATGCGATTGTTCCGGTGTTCGAATCCCGCAGGCCGGTACCAATTTTTCTAAAAAAATATGTACTTAACAAATATGTTCACAATTTACTTCCACGATAAAGGAATAAAACATCGTGTAATAAAATCAAACCCACAAAAATTATAATTCGCGTCATTACTGGTGGTGGTAGTGACTTGTGAGCCGGCGCGAGACGATAACACAACCCCGCCTATTTCAGCCGCGAAGGATTAATTCGGTTTGAAGGGTGGGGTAGCCGATGTACTGTAAAAACTGTGACCTTAGCACTAAGGTCTCAAGCTGGATGGCGGAATTTACGTTATAGATATCTATGGGCCCCGAAAATTACTTAACGCCAGACAGGCCGTGAGCTCGCGCATTTATCAAAGTAAAAAATATACTTTTTTTATAATAAGAATAAAGTGTGCCATAACATTCTAGTATATGTTCATCTATACAGCTGTGCACTAATGTTCAAAAATGTAACAAAATCGCTGAACAATCCTATTTTTTTTTTCAAAACGTCCACTAAACTCTTCATAAATTCCTGTTATTTCGTTCAAGGTATACTTCATTTAATTTCATTTTGAAGACACGTACTCAGTCGGGTGTTTTGTTTGGTCTCCTCATTTAAATTAATATTACTTTTCCAAAATATTCAATTAAATTCCATAATCAATTTCATTTCATTCTGTTTCAATTTTAATTTTCAGACAATTGACATGGCCTGGGCTTGTTAGAAAAGATATAACTATATAGCTATATCGACAATGATCCCTTTGTCTGTCACATGGACGAAACAAACAAAAATAAAGGTTCTAGTGTTCACTAATATCAGACATACATACAGTCTGAATTGAGAACTGCATAAAAAACATTAATTACTTCATGGATTTTCATTAATTACGAAGACCTAAGACTTTTGTTTTTCCAATTCAAATATAATCTAAACATATCTACATATAAACAATCTAGACGAGCAAGTAAGAAACTATGAACTTTAGTGTTTTCAATTTTAAAAAATAATAGATTTATTATATTAATTTCAACTTGTGAATTATTTTTTCCTAGTTGTAAATTATAAAAGAAATGAAAAATTGTAATAGATAAATGAATCCAAATTTTGAGGCGTTAGTAATTACTGTCGAATTTTAATTGGCTGATAACAAAATGAACAAGAAAAAAATACTACAGAGAACTTAAGTTCTCACTATCTAAGAAAGAAAAAAGCTATCTGATTCTCCATACAGCAACCAAATCCAATCATAATTGTTTTATTATTAGCATTACTATACAGACGGACTCGTAGCTCAACTAATGATAACAGAGTGCATCCATCTCCTGATCTTGTGGAATAAGGTCACAGTACGAGTCGCATTGTAAATATTTAATGTTTTTTTTGTTAAACATATTATTTCACACTCAATTATTTCAAGTATTTTAAGATTATGTAACAATTTTTTTTAAAAGTGTGAATTAAAAGACAAAATTAACTTGATGTATTTGATTGTTGGTAGTTTTATATATACCTATCGCTCCGGCCTATTTCTAGCACAAAGCAGTAACACCATCCAATTTGAAGAGTGGATTGGCTGTCTAATAAACAAATTAATTGAAAATGGATTTCATATCACACTGATATGGCAAGGTGTCAACGCATCTTTAAAATGCAATTTAAAACAAATTAGTTATTGAGTATGAATTACCCAACTGCATGTGTTTTATATATAAATATCAACATTTTTAGTTAATATTATAGATAAAATTAGAGGACATTAACTGTTTTTAATATTCTAGTCTGTAATAAAGTAAGATTTCTCGACCGTAACTCACAGCGAGCGCTTTGGTGCATTAGGGTCTTTCATCTGCTGCCTCTTTCGCCCTCTGACCTTCATGTCCTTTGGTGGTACATAGTTCTGCATCTCCAAGTCGAATCGATGCTTGTCCTGTTCAGCCATCTCATGGAACCGCTGTTTTTCTTTTTCCGACATTGTCTGTCAAAAACATATCTNAATAAAGTAAGATTTCTCGACCGTAACTCACAGCGAGCGCTTTGGTGCATTAGGGTCTTTCATCTGCTGCCTCTTTCGCCCTCTGACCTTCATGTCCTTTGGTGGTACATAGTTCTGCATCTCCAAGTCGAATCGATGCTTGTCCTGTTCAGCCATCTCATGGAACCGCTGTTTTTCTTTTTCCGACATTGTCTGTCAAAAACATATCTGATATAGTAGGCACATAGGATGGTCCGCTATTGTAAAATTTTGTGAAATGAATATAAATGTCCTTGAAATGAGAGTTCACCTTATATAGGATGATTATGGAAAATTATTGACTATTTTATTTTTACCAACTTCCACAGAAAGTTAAATGAATGAATCATAGATTTCCAGCACCTTAAGCTTATAAACAAAGATACATCAATTTTTGTGTTATACAAAAATAAATGTATTACTTGGCAGACAGACATCGTAATATTAAATTCTTAACTTGTCCTTGAACAACCTTGTTATAAAAAAAAATACTAACATTCCACCTCTCTGCGCACTTTTTCGAGAATGCTGCAAATATAACACTGACATCAGGGTATTTCTTCTTGTGTTCTTCTCGGCACGTCTGCACAAAGAATGCATAAGCTGTCATGCGACCGCGGGGCTTGTTGTATGGCCTTGAACGGGGCATCCTGGCCTTATTTACTGTTGCTTGCTGTAAAGCTTGCTGCTGTGCCTGTTGCTGCAGCTCCTACATTAAACAAATAGTATATTGTTCGGTCTTACAAAGGAAACAACCATTAAGAATTTGTGAGTTATTTTAAAACTATTTTGTGGAACAAAGGACCTGAGGAACTTGTGAAAACAGCAATCTGTCCAATTCAACAGTGTTCAAGTTGCCACCGGACTAAAGTTCAAAAATATAACTTAACTACAAATTATGATAAACACGCTACCTTCTAGTATAGTGTGTTTCAGATCATCCTATTTTTTCCGATGAGGTATAAGATAAGATTTTTACCGTGGAGTGACTACTTTTCATCAGGCGGGTCACACGTTTAATAATAGCCTTGTAAGGAAATTAGATTGCAAAAATTTAGATTTTTTATTACCTGTAGAGTGGCAGATTGCCTCTGTAATGCTGCCTGTATCTGTTGTTGCTGAACAGCTTGAATGTGTTCTTGTAAAGTTTGTTGTTGCTGCTGTATTGATTGAGCAACTTGGTGCTGTAAGGCTGCTTGGGCTTGCGCTATTGCTTGGGCTTGAGCCTGACTAACTTGCAATGTCTGCTGCAAAGTTTGTTGTAAGCCTTGGTGCTGCTGCTGTTGATGCTGCTGTAGCATCTGCTGCAGGGTCGGTTGCTGCTCTTCTTGCTGCTGCTGTTGTTGTTGTTGTTGTAACGACTGCTGCAAAGATTGGTTCTGCTGTTGCAAAGCTTGCTGGAGATTCTGTTGTTGCTGCAACTGCTGTTGTAATTGACTTTGTTGCTGTTGAATAGTTTGATTTTGCTCCTGCTGCTGTTGTTGTTGGATCGACTGATGACTCTGTTGAATACCGTTCGCTTGTTGATTGTTTTGATCGCTTTCTTGATTTGACTGATTCTGCGACTGTAACAAATAATACACAAAGTAAGATTAAACAATAACGAATGACTCAAAATTTACAGGGCTAATGGTTTTTTTTTTCCTACCTAAGGTAGCCTAGGATGCCAGCGTAACTAGGCGAGGGATATTTGTAAGCATGCCTATTATACATAAACAAGCCATTCAAGTCATGTCAAAAACTCAAAAAGCTATCAATCGTTACCACATACCATAAAGTAATCGTTACATACTACTATGTACGGTTACTTTAAAATGAAATTTAGCACTTTCTTTCAAGAATAGTCAATTAACAAAGATATCATTAAAATTATTTTTTTAAGTGTTTTTGTGACCTGGTAACTAAAACCTTTAGGTCAAGTCTTATTTTAATATTATTCATATTTTTTATGATAGACAATAACCATATTCGATGCGCAAAAAAAATATATTTGTAGGTCTATTAAAATCATTTCAATCCTACAGTTAGATTTGTTAAAATAGAATCTTTTTCGGGTATTTCAACTTTAAATTAGTCTACTGTTAAGTTCACGCATTGTCGCTTAATCACGTTTGCCTTTCAAGCGTCGATATGTATTGAAATGAAATGAAGTTGACTAATATGAAACATGGCATGAAATTAAGTGAAATGAAATAAGATATGTTATGAAATATAATCTCAGTAAAATTGTGGTCATTTACTAAGATTTTTTCAGTGGACTTTTTGGAGGATCCCGAGAAGTTACGTTCAGCGGCTTTGTTTCACTTTCCCACATTTGTGCACTTTCACAGATACTAAACAGTTAATAGACCACCGTTATTACACATCTAACCTGAAGAAACACTAAATAGATAAAATAAAACAAATCACACAACTTCACTCCTCGCGTTTTCGCCAAAAAGTCACATAATTGAAAATACATAAAACTGCAAGTTAGATCTAATCATATTACGTATAGATTATCTAAAATAACTTACATATTTTCTTTATATTTTATTAATGTTCGGTAGCCGGAAATCTAGTTTTTTAAGCCAAATATTTATTTACTATTTTACTTTTCCAACAGGATAATGCGAAACCACAAACGAGTCTATCCAATCAGAATATTTTTACAATTTGGACGGGATATACTGCCATACTAAGCACACTCTCTATACCCGACACATACCGATAATTATTGTTGACCCGGTCTCCGCACAAATTTTTAGATGGTAAAATGTATAATTTGAATGTGGAGGTAAAAAATTACTGGGGATTAGCTTTTAGCCAATAAAAAAAAAATGAAAAATATGAGCGTATATGTATATAGCGTATATATTATGTTATTGAATGAAAGGGTAATGGATCAGAATGAACAATATTTAACAAAAATAAACATTATTTATTTTCACTGTAAGAAAATCGTTTTTTATTTTCGTATAAAAAAATGGTTAGCGCTCTTAACTATCAGCTGGTTTTGCAGCTTGATTGATCAAGTATGATTTTGAGCATGCACAGTCAAGGGACTACCCACAGCTGGACAGAAACCATTAACCGTGGTTCTTGCTCTTAAAGTTCAGTACGAAGGCTTCTGACGGCATCTGGCTGAAAGCCATTCCATTAAAGGCATCATCGATTGAATCTAATCCATTCCAAATCCAAAAAATGCTTTCAAGCATAAATTCGATGTCGATAGGGTCGGTATCATACACTATACACTTACTATTTAAGAGTCGGTACCGTAATCCGCGCTTTTATTATGGAGGATAGAAGTAATACTTTACTTCTGTTTAAAAACATAATGTCGATCGATGATATTCATTGCTATGTGGACAGTAACACAAAGGATGCACGATTTTATTCAATCCAACCCTGTGAAGAGGAATGTCGGCATACTCATTGCGAAAAAGAACCTTTTGTCATCGCTTCATCGGCTTAGTGTCATACATACATACCATGAATCGTCGTGGCCTAAAGGATAAGACGTCCGGTGCATTCGTATGAAGCGATGCACCGGTGTTCGAATCCCGCAGGCGGGTACCAATTTTTCTAATGAAATACGCACTCAACAAATGTTCACGATTGACTTCCACGGTGAAGGAATAACAACGTGTAATAAAAATCAAACCCGCAAAATTATAATTTGCGTAATCACTGGTGGTAGGACCTCTTCGGAGTCCGCACGGGTAGGTACCACCACCCCGCCTATTTCCGTCGTTCGAAGGGTGGGGTAGCCGTTGTAACTATACTGAGACCTTAGAACTTATATCTCGAGGTGGGTGGCGCATTTACGTTGTAGATGTCTATGGGCTTCAGTAACCACTTAGCATCAGGTGGGCTGTGAGCTCGTCCATCCATCTAAGCAATAAAAAAAAACGACTCATAAAAGTACCTATCATAAACTACCGTCATGAAGAAATCGACAGTTTTGTTCAGAAACGCACATGTAAGATTCGGTGCAAGTCTATACACACACGTCTGCACTTGTAGTACGCAAAGGCGNTTGTAGATGTCTATGGGCTTCAGTAACCACTTAGCATCAGGTGGGCTGTGAGCTCGTCCATCCATCTAAGCAATAAAAAAAAACGACTCATAAAAGTACCTATCATAAACTACCGTCATGAAGAAATCGACAGTTTTGTTCAGAAACGCACATGTAAGATTCGGTGCAAGTCTATACACACACGTCTGCACTTGTAGTAGGCAAAGGCGACTCCAAACAGTTGAACTTTAAAATATTTTTCAACTGAAAAATCTTACAAATAAAGAAAAGTGGCATTGCTTGTTAAAATTTTGACATTCGTGTCACACATCAATGTTTCGTACACCGTTTTCATTCTAAGCCAGGCTAGGTTTAGATTGAACTCTGAAAACTACATCGAAAACAGCTTGAAAGTTATATCTAAATACATTTTAAGACAAATTATGAAATGTTACAAGCAAGCGTATCGTCCAGACCTACTTTGCGAACACATGGGATGTCCGAATAACATAAACTTTTTTTTTGTTCCTACCTAAGCTGATAGCCTTGAGAGGCTATTTCAGCGTATAACTAGTAGGTGAGCTCACGGGGCTCAAACCTGACGACGTTGCTAACACGAACCTTAGCAAGAACCATGCTTCGCAAAATCTACCACCGGATCGGAAACGCGACCCACTTTGGATGTGGTATTTATACATTATATTAATGTTCTTTCTATCAACAAAAAATCCCAAAGAGAACAATGGGCATCCACAATTTTTTATTTGGCCAAGTGTTGTCGAATACACTTTTAATCACATAGTTTACTTTATCCTAGGGAGAAGCAACAGTTTCATTTTTAGTGTTAGCAACAGGCAACTGAGCTTTCAAGAAGTCGTCGCTTCTTTGCCCAAGTGTAGCTCGACAGTTTATTTGATTTCGATTACGAGCGAGATTACGAGCGACTCGAGAGCTGAGCGATCACTGTAAATGCGGATACTGCCAGCATTAGCTATGCAAGCCTAGGTCCTTTTTTATTTATATTTGCGTTCAAAAACCGGCATAGGAAGGATAAAATGTACAAACATATTCGAATATTGAAAATACTTTTGTTCAGTTTCTGAACGTAAAAATGTCAGCGAGCGACGTCCGTCATGACACCAAATGTCTCAAATTCAGTCGCCAAGAGCAAAGCATTAATTTTCTAGTTTTCTTAATCATATATTATGTTAATTTGTAATATTAAAAATGTTAAATTTTTCATACAAAAAATACAGTCCACGCCTAATTACCATAACGCAACATTTTACTCAATTGTCCATACCGTACATTGCAACTTTGCGAGTATTTGTATATTTTAGATTAGATAGATGGAATCTATCCATCGTGTTGGTATCTACTTGTCATCAATATGTAATTGTACACATTTACAACATCCGACGTTTTCCATGAGAGTAAACCGCGAATTTTTTTTTAATAAGATCTGAGACTCGATTTTTTTGAGAATACACTCCTCCTTCCTCCCCTCGATTTTTTTTCATTAAATGTGTGTACGAGCTTTACGCCCACTTCATATTAAGTGGCTAACGGACATTACAAGCATTACAACGCGAATGGCGTCAATCATCGTGAAACATACGGTCGAAATCGGATTTGAATCGGTTATTTCAATAACAACTTAACAACATTTTTTCATTCATTCTTTCTTCGTATGGGTACATCGTTCTTGAAGTTTCACTTTAAGTTAATATTTTAATTGCAGTCGGGTTTTTATTTCATTTAACAATTTACTTTCTCTCACAGATATATTACTAATTTATAAACAAGTTCTTTTTTTCAATATAAAATAATACAAAGAATAATTCCTTTTCTACAATGTGTTTTCACGGTCATCATATTAAAATAATATTATCTATGCCACTTACAGAACTAAAACCAATCAATGTATAGTTGTGCTTCGAAGGAGGCAAAAAAACCAATATAATGACATCTTTGAAATTCATTATAAAGATTTGGCATTACTAAAACTTTGGATGTACCAAATAATGTTTTTATTTATTTCATAGACACCATATTGACATCACATAATGTCACTCCCGCAACTGAAACGAATCTAATCGCATCGCGTATGTTGAAATCCGTCAAAAAGTTTAGGCTGCAGAGCGTGCCAATGAATTAGACATGCATAAATACGCTCGAAAAACAGCGTCCTTCGGCAATCGGGTAAAAATAGATGTTTCAAAACGAGTTCAGGGTAAAATTCTGGAGGAGCATATGCCATTTTGTCAGAAAATATGTTGGTATAAGAATATATAATCCAAATGAAAATAAAACCATATAAAACAAGATTGCAAAAAAAACTTAATTTATTAATGTTGAAAATATATGAGAGAGAGTGATAGAGAAAGTATGCTTTGTTGTACACCAAAGAAACAAAAATTTAAAACATTAAATTCAAAAAGCACAACGTGCGGTTTTATCGCTGAAAGCGATCTCTTCCAGACAAAAATCAGGAGAACAAGAATCACTTCAGGAAATTCAGTCTTTCATTATTTTCAATAATAAGCGATAAAGATCTTTGACCATTTCATTTAAACACGCAAATACTGAACCCTAAAAGGTTCTTCAAAACCCTTTTTGTAAATTATTTATTAATACAAAATGCAATCATGGACTTAAGGTTTTTGAAAGGACTGACTCAATTGAATTACACAACGGATCCCTAGCGTTCAAATCTGGAAAGCACGGTTCCTTTGCGGTAGGTAGTAATAATCTGGAAAGTAGTACTCAGAAATCAAATTACAATAAAATAATAAAAGATTTGGTCATAACTTTACAAGAACATGAACTACATTAGATAAAATTTAAAACAACTGAAGTACAATTTCACCTCTAGCTAATCATAAGAATAAATGCTTAGTTCAAGTTCAAGGACAAAGAAATCACTTACTGGAAAAAACCGGAAAGGTAGGTAGGTAAGACAGTACGCACATACAACCATTTTGTTACAAAGAATGTAAATAAAATTAATAGGTCCTGTTTTCTTTCACTTTCTAAATTTCATTCGTTCATTAGTGTTGTCACTAACACTTTTGTAATAGGTTCGTTGTCTCATTAGGATATTGTATTACTTTTGGAATTTATAACCAAAACAGCGTAGAATTTTAACTTTTTTGTTTTGTTTGATTTAAATAACAATTTAATTTCTTCTTAAAGTAGAGACATTGCAGCCCATGACCCGCCTAGATACCACAGCAAGGTTGATCTTTGAGATATGAGGTCGAAGTTTCAATTTGTATTGTTGTGTAGCGTAATGTAATATCATAAACCGGAGTGGCATCGTTTAATTCCCACAACAATAGAAAAATTAATTTGAAACATTATAATTAATATGTATTTTCTGTTAAAAGTTCGTACCGTCGGTGAAGATGCTTGTTGGGAGTCTACACCTCCTGATGAGTACCACCATTGTTGCTGAGGTGAAGCTTCCCTTGTGTTAGAATTAGACATAATTCGATATTCATAACTGGGAGTAGTATTGTTTCCATTAGATGTAAAGCCACCCGACATTTTATATGAGTACATTTGTTGACTTGTAGTGGCTGTACTAGTGCCTATTTCTTCATTTAATTGTTGTTGGTGCTGCAGTTCACCTGCGCTACTTGGCCACCACGAGGCATCGTCGCGCGCACCCCAAGCGCCCCCCGTCGCGCCCCGTTCGCCCATCCTACAACCGCTGCCTGTGGTCAACCAGTTCCTTTATGTATTTTGTCCTTTTCGAGGCCGTTTAAGATATATTAAACTTATGTCATGTCCTCTCAATCTGTCCTCGAATTTGTAACTAACAACACTAAACAGAATAGAATGGTTAAATTAATGATTTTTGTATTGTTATCACTTAGACTTTTCGTTTTTTGTAAAATCACATAATTTTCAACACTAAACAAAACACTTTATTTAAAAAACACACTAGTATTCCTTTTATTACAAAAAGCTACCGGCTGTAAGTTTCACTCCACGCGCGTACGTTTTGTCTTCGTTACTTCGTTAGTACTCAAGTCAATAAAGCTGGCAACGTCGCACAGCCAGACGCCAAACAAGTGCACAGAGGCGCCCTCAGCACGCAGCGGCTATTGTTAAAACTTATCAAAGCCAATAGAGACCGAAGATGTACGAACTGGCAACAAGCTGGTCCAGCCGGTCAATAAGACGATTAGCACAGCCATGCAAGTTATCCATGTTGCGCGCACAATTTTTTTTAGTTTTATCTAAGTTTTTATCCAAAAGGGGTAAATGCGCTAAACTATGACATACATACTTTTGGCTGGTTTTTATAAGAATCTGCTTGGATTTTAATCACAATATTTTTGTTGACATTTATTAATAATTAGCCACAAATTCATTTTCAAAATTATGATCATTTATTAAAGCAAATTAAGCCGGGCCTTTACAAGTTTAAATACCTAGCTTAAAATTTTCGGGTAATTTTCTTTACGAAATCGAAGCTTGATGTTTGTTGTTGTTAATCAGTCCATCGAGCGTAAATATTCCCTTCTCTATTCAATAAATATGAGTATTTTTTTTTACTAATTTACTCCTCCGACGTTACCACTAGGCAATAATAGGCAGCGATGGATTCTAGCGGCCGGCATGATCAGGTATAGACGAATGCTAAAGGAAAGAAGTAAGCTGAGAATACAGCATTATTTGTTGAGAATGCAACACTGGCTTAGCATGGAACGACTGCTGTTGATGATATGTCTTAAACTAAGTTTAGCATGTGAAGGTATTCATATTGTTTATGTTGGTTGTATGTATATATATGTACCTACCTATGTAGGTAGGTACATATATGATGAAAACGCTACTAAAAGCTGCAGTTGCTGTGCTACAGGCTTACTAAATCTTAGTAACGAACTCTTATGAACTTGTAAAATAATATTTGACGTCTCCTAAATTATTGTGAGCTTTATTCAAATAGCATCTGGTTTCTACTAAACGCAAATAGAAGCTATAAGTTTTTCACTTCATTCTTATAAAGTTATAACAGATTGAAAACGTTTTTATCGGAAACAATTTTCCAAATTTGGAGTAAGTACAATATTGTATCAATTCTGCTAAATACTGAATTCTGCTTAAGCCATAAAGCGGCTAATAATATCTAATCGTTAAATCATATTTTTATTATAAAAATACAGATCCACGTATTATTATCGTATTGAAAGTTAGATGCAATTATAGCTTGTCTGATGAAGGCGTCTTTGTACATAGATAGACCTTGATATTTTCGACTATTACGAACATTGTTTCTATCAGTTAAAATTGTTTCTGTAAAATTGTATAGTTGTGTAGTTAAAATTGTATAGTTGATAACAGTGACAATCGAAACGGAAAAATAAAACTTTGAAAAACATTTCAAACTCATTCCCAATAATGCGGTAGAAATGTTGTGGCTTGTCGAGATAACAGAATATGAAGAACAGAATAGTTCTTCAGAAGACATGATTCAATGAAATAATAGGAAACCAAATTTGTTAACACCATTTATTAAAAAAAAAACCTTTATGACACGACAGTATTATTTCTACATATATTATAAAGTTATTTTCACATTTTGATTTGTTACATAGTTACGTAGTCACTATTTTAAAAAATATTATTTATCACTGAGGGGATGACTTCTAGTGTTAAAGCTACATATCGACAATTCGATTATTAGTAACGCTAATTCATTTAATTTTGTAGATATAACAAAAAAAATCGGTTTAACATTTTTGAATGTCCACGGAATACCGCGATTTAGCACAAGACTTTCGAGGTATTGCAAATAAAAACATCTTTATTAATACCTAGTACTGCTATTTTATGTTGAAATGGTGTACTTAGCGTATTTTACTGCTTATTTTCGACATTCGGACGTGTCGCTTGACATCTGATGGCAGGAAATATGGATTGATTGTTAATATTGGGCTAAGTGGACCTTAGTTAACGATATCAAAAATGAGATCTCACTTTTAGATTTGAAAAATCCTGTAGCAACATACGTAATGGCATTGGAAATTGATACACTATAGAATGAATGGCCCAATATGTGAGTGTTAAGCTGTTACTGAATTCGTAGGAATCATTAAAAAAATTAATTGGGCATTCCCAAAGCAAAACATTGTAAGTATATACCTACATTACTACAAACGAAATGCAGTTCTTTTTGAATCACATTTGTGAAAGATTTCCGTATAAAGGCATTTAAAACATGTCTGTAATGGAAACTTTGGCATGTAGTGCTGATTTACCACAACTAGCTCTTTTGAAAAGTAATTACAAAAATATATACTTGGCTGCTATACCATTTATTAGAGCTGAATTCCCACCATGCACCAAAACGTACAAATAATCCGCTGAATTGTGCCGTACGAAATCGTTGCAATGTTATGCATTTGTTATAAAATTGCGCTGACGTTTATTTATCATGGTGACAAATTCCTAGCACTCACCGTACTCACCGTAGTGCTTGCTCACTTGCATGTGTATGATGTCAATTAAAATAAGAAATTCGCGATCTTTCAAAAGCCTCACCTCTTTTAAACAAACCTATAATACCTATTATGTATTAAATGTTTCAAAACATTAAGACTTCGTTGCATTGTATATTTAAAGTGATTGTAATTTATAACGTTCTATTGTTCCAATAAAATAAATTTCTAAGTATTGTTCTACCATCATTTTACATCTTAAGTCACGTGTACATTGCATTAAATTTAATGCTTATCTTACAGTTTGTCAATACACAACAAACTGAACACGCATTTTTTACTAATTTATGACTTAACTCACGTAAACATACACAATGGGGATTTTTTTTTTTCCAAAATGAAGCTGATGTTAACATAATATAGAAACATACTCAAGGATGTTGTACATACGCTTAATCATCAAATCTATATCTACGCCATATACATATAAGTATCCATAGAATATGTCACCTTACTTCGGAGTTCCGCTCTCGGCAGCCATTTGCTTACAAAATTAGAATGTAAGACTATAAATATAATTTCAGAAATATTGTATTAAAACAAATTTGCAATATTTCTCGCTGGCATTTAATTTATACCATTGATGGTCTAGTTTAATGATTAGGTAATATAATAATAGAACTCACCAACTAAAATTCTCAATACAAACGAGCACACGATTTCAGCGCTTATTGTTACGCAGAGTATTCGGCAGTCTTCGGGTTCTCTACGAGATAAATACACGATCAGCGACGTCAGTCAGAAAACAATTTGATTCGTTGAATTTATATTTCCCGCAAAATGTTATCCAATCCTACGGCTAGTGCTAGCTTTATTTTTTGTTTATACTATGATATGTATGTAGTTGTGTTGTCATTTCACTACCACTACACGCCGACAATTTGAAATGTTTTCATTTTTAGAAAAGTTCATGGTTGTGCCAATCTCAACGTTATTCCAAGTGAATAAGTTCATATTGACTGCGTGTTTTTGGTTCGAGTCGCATAAGAGTGAATGAAGGAACGAACAAAACATTCGTCTAAAACAAATTAATAAAATTCACTCGTTCACTTCATTTTATTATGGCGAAGTGCTAGATCGGTACGAGAAAGTACCAAGTCAAAAATAAGAACCAAAATTAATATATCTTGTTGTAGAAAAAAAGATTCAGCAATCTTTTCATATGTTGTAAATCTAGATTCACAGTATCAGAACAAAAATAACCGAATATTGCATCGTTTCAACTGTTAGTGTTATAGACATTTTCATGCACAAGTGCTGTGGATTAAAAGTAACCGACAGATTGGGCATCCGGCTTGTTAAACGCATCTCAATATCGAATAGTTGTCATGTTTTTAATTGATTTCAAGTGTAAAAACAAACTGTGTTGTCATAAATCATAACCTCAATTGTGAGTCCTTTGTGAATACGTTGGACAATTTTCCGTCGCCTGGTGCGGTGTGTAATACGCAAGTTTAATTTATTAATCATATATGATTCAACGGGAGTATCAAATGAACAACGGGTTTAGTACAGGAGAAGAAGATTCTAGAGGTAATTCTGACCAAATATGTTGCCTTGTGGATGACGGCGACCGCTGCAGACGACCAGCGGGCAACGCTTCGTACAGCAAGCGTATACAGAAAACTGTGGCGCTAAGGAGGCTCAAACTTAATATAGACGGTCAGGTATGTTTACTTACTGCTGATTTTCACAATTACATTCATTATTTTTTTAGAAAGCATAAACTAAAATCTGTAATGCAAGTTTTAGATAGTTTTTTTAGTGATTGATTTTTGAAGATCTTCTTTAATTTGAATAAAAAAAATGTAGACAAAAAAAAACAAAATTATTACATATCATCATTCAGCTCCATACACTAACTAAATACAATATTACAGGCAAGACACACATACATTTGTGATTATCACAAAACAATGATCCAGTGTGCCAGAACAAAACAGAGAAGAACAAAAGACTCAGAAGATGATAGTAATGAGGCAGAAAATGATGCTCCAGAAGTGGACTGGTTCCAATTACAGGTTAATACCTTGAGGAGGTACAAAAGACACTACAAGGTGCCAACAAGGCCAGGACTGAACAAGGCACAGTTGGCTGATGTAAGTTATAACTATGTTTTCCTCAGTAAAAATAGTTGTAAGTCTAAATGTCTTAATTTTTTTTTTAATATGCATAGCTAACTTTGTTTTATTTACTTTATCAAAACTTACAATACTATCTAATATGTGCTAATTTTCACAAATTAATAATAATTCGTATTTTAAATCATTAATTAAGAAAAGGTAATTTTAATACTATTTCACTACAAGCCAGACTAATTGTAAAGATATTGTGGCTAATTTTGTATCATTCTCTATGATTAGCTCATACATTCTGGCCTTAAATAAAATGTGTAGTTGCATTAAGCTGTTTTTTTTTTAAAAAACAATTATGAAAATGGTTCAAGTGGAGACAACTTGTGAATGCCCTAAGTACCAGCAGGGTACTCTAATACTACAACAACAACAAAAATTCACTCACATAGTTCCCTATTTTATTTTGTTCTACTTGATGTTATTGTTATTTACAGTTGTCTTACACTTTTTATTGCATCTTTTGTTTTAAAATTATTGTTATTTTTCTTATTACAGGCTGTACAGAAACACTTCAAATCATTACCAGTCAACGAGAGGGAGATTATGACATATTTCATTTACATGGTTAAAACAAATGGAAACAAGTTAGACCAGAAGAATGGAATGAATAACTCAGATTCAGTGTAGAATTATTTTGTTCCAATTGACTTTAATGAAGTGCAGTGTTAATATTAGTTTAAGTAGATTAATTAATTATCCTTTCTGTCTGTATCTGTATTATAAATTTCAAGCTGCATTAAAAGAAATAATTAAGATACATTAAGTGATTAGTATATTATTTCATACCAAAAACGAACAGAAAGCAATGAAGAAGAAAAAACATGTATTGTGAAAATGATCTTGAACTGTTGCATGCCTCCATATTATCAAATTTAGTATTTATTTCCATGTAGTTTAATGTATTCAAAAAAAAAACAGTGTCAAAATGTGATTGTGAAATTTGATATGAGGGTAATGCAATCAAATATAAATACTGTTAAGAGAGATTATATTTAATATTTAAATGTAAAATTACATTTTATTTCACAAATGATTTTGTATTTAGTCTTTAATCCTCTCCAGAATCTGATGATACTTCTATCCACTCTGATTTACCTTCTTTTGATTTCAACTCCGCTGTGTTAGGAAGTGTTGCAACAACTGTAAGTAAAAATAAAGTTAAAATAAAAATATGAATTGTTACAAAGTAATAAAAAGATTTATTATGAGAATCATAATGTTGCATTGATTGACAAATTTATGGCCTTATGTAAATTATTTGTGGATAGAATGTTATGACTGATTAGCTTTTTACATTGATCCAGTGATTGACCCTGATAAGGGATAGAGGGGATAGAGGATGATGAAAGGGTTAAATATTTTGTTAATGGCAATGCATTGAAAGGAACAACTATTTAAAATACTAGACCGCTAACCGCGTCACCCGCGCCCTTCACGCTGTAGTGCAATGTCTTGTGCCAAATCGCACCCGTTTTTCATGTGTGTGGTTATTTGTTTTTTACTATTATAAATTCTGTGACTGATTAAAAATGTATATAATGTTACTTAAGTAAAAGACCATTGGAAATCAAATGTAAAATCATTTGCTGATGAATGTTACTGTCAGTCATTGGGTGAATGTAATGAGCTATTATTGGCAATAAATAAGGGCAACTAAAAGACCCTATGAAGAAAGATACTTTGTTTTTTTATGATTATCAACATACCATCATATTTGCTTGGCTCTGGTTTAATATCATCCTCATCACTAAACATTTCTTCATCTTTCTCATCTAATTCAGTCACATCATAGTGTTTGAGTTGTATGTTAAGATCCTTTCTACTTAAAGCAAGCATATGTTCTGTCGTAATAATATCTGAAAAGTTTATTTTTTCACGTTTTTGCCTAAAAAAAGTAGTATTAATTTATAAAAATATAGTTTATAGTGCAATATATACTTCAGTTTGTAATAGAAATCACCTATGCTAAATTCAATGATATTTAAGGGAATATTTATAAATTATTTCTTTGTTTTGTTTTATTACACATTGTTGTTATGTATAACATTTTTCTATCGAAACAAAAATTTTATTCCTTGTTTCTGCTTCATAAATAATGCTTTAACATGCTTTGACATTTCATTTCATGTGGCTATACTCACATTAACCTTAATTACAGACTAGGGACAGTAAATTAAATAATATGAACACAAAAAAAAATGTATTATATTTTTGAATAACCATATATTGATTTATGATCATGGATTAGCTAATGATAACTAGTTACCGAAGCACAAGTAATAACTCATAGTGTACGAGGACTATGGATCTAGTAAGGTATAGGGACCAAATTGGCTTTAAACCTGCTTTCCTGGGTTTTTTTTCTATCTATGCCGTTAGCCTTGAGAGGCTATATCAGCATTACCCTAGCATGTAGGTGAGCTCGCGGGGCTCAAACCGGAGTTGCAAACACTGGCCCTGGCAAGAGCAGTGCTTCGCAGAATCTACCACCAGATCGGAAACGCCACCCACTGAGAAGATCCAGTGAGAATCTCAGTGCGCTGTAGTATCTGTGGGTTAATTTACTCCCCGAGCCCTTCGTTGCAAGCTACGAGTTCAGGCGAGGGCGGTGAATGGTGCGGTGCTTAAGATACCTCAAAAACCGAAATGACGTGTTTAGGGCGACGTCGACTGTTTACCATTCGGTACACAAGATCGGGTAATTTCCTCAGTAAACACTTGGAGGACAATTTAACCAAATTTTATAATAATAAACCGTATTTCCCCTCTTACAAAAAATACATAAATAATTAAATGAATCACCTCAAGTTGTCATCCTTGACAACGGCATTTTTTATAATTTCCACATATTTTTTACATTTGTCTGCAGCACTCAGAAGCGCTTTATGAACTATATTAGATGTGTATATTGCAGCTCCTGTCAAATCAAGTAAACATACTTCTCTATATTGATTCATTCCCAAAACCAGGAGGCCTCCTGCAGTGTTGATGCCTTCCTCTGTATTACTTGTACACACTGATTCTTCCAGGAAATTAGGATCGGAGAGTAAGATACTGAAATAAATAAAAATGTAAGCTTTAATATCTAGCTCACACAATGTTTTAATCTTCTAAGTCAGATTAAACATGTGTTGCTAAAAAGTAGTCATTCTTTTTGATTGGCATGGTTCAGCAGACAGCAATTCTACATCTTATTCGAGCCTTCTAATTAATCAATACAAAAGAACATTTGTAATTTCTCAAAACTTACTCATTACTGTACAATGCAAAAGTTGTACACACAGGATAATGATACAAAACTGTTGGTATTGGGTCTTTCTCAGTTAATGTGTGAATAATCACTCGGTCACCATCTCTTGTAAAGTCAGGTCTCCTAAAGTGTGCTATTGAGGCAAGTGTAGCTATACTTGCACATTCAGTTAAGTTACCATCATGGTTTAGAACTTTAATATTAATTCTTAAAGACCAAACCTGAAATTTAAACATAAAATTTTTGTTTACTGCGGTCAATAATGTAATTACATATTTGTTAAAACTTAGTTTGTAAACTACTTTGGTAATTTATAAAAACTGTTATATATGTAAGAATAGTAAGTAGTAGTTTCTGATTCCATTTATTATAGCATGAAGCTACACAAAAACTATTTTTGGCAAGATAACCCTTTTTTCCAAAATGAACTGATAACTCAGACCCTCTGAATAACTTTAAAAAGCCTTGTAGTTTTTTTCTATTGATACAAAATACTAACATCCAAAGAAGAAGTTGTGTTAATTAGTAGAGGGTCGGTTTTTAGAGCTCATCAACCTCCAAAATTGAGTTAATTTATGATTTCACAACCAGAATCCCTGGCCTAACATATAAAATACTTACCCCACTCCATAGAAATAATGTGAATGGCACCACTCACCATGAGACATGAGATTGAGGGCTCACTTTAAAACAGAAGCATTGTAGAAGCACTTTGGTCAGAAATAGGCTAGACGGAAGACACCACACCCACTGCCTACATTGCAGCCTATCTTCAGATATTTAAAAGTTACTACAAATGTTATCTAGAGTTTGGAAATAAATACTTTAGAAATATTCTAAATTAATAGTGGAAATAATTGCAAAAAAGGAAAACATCAGTGTGAAATAATTGTGTCCATAATGCATACAGAATTGCTTATATCTAGATCTATATCTATTAAGGTAAGATTTTTAATTAATAAATTTACCTTTTCTTCTACTACAATGCAGAGTGATTCCAGGTCTATGCATTTTGAATCTTTGTAACATTTTTCTAGTAATCTTACAAGATAAACAGTGAGATCTGTTTGTCTATTGGCTTCAAACTGTGGAGCAGCCATAGGATTAAGTTCAACATTAATAAATATGATGCCTTCATTTGGTCTTATTTGTTTTGGCTGAGCGACTTCACATGTGACTTCTGATAGGATCCTGAAATTAAGTAATTTACTTTTTAGTTACCCATGTCCCCCAACTCCAGTGAATGCCGCCAATGAAAACAATTTTTCATATTCTACAGATCTCATTGGCCACTAGGGATCCCACACCAATGTAATTTTAACATAGTGGTCATTCAATATTGATAGCTTAATATTACCCTTTAGGTCAAGTTCATAAATAAGTAGCTTTAGCTTTAGCAATTTTAGGACAAATTCATTTAAAGTTTAGGTGTTATTCTCTTATTCATCATATCTGAAAACTGTTAATTAATGAGCAATGGAGCATTTCCTTGTTGCTGTGCTGGTTCACAGATCACAAAGACACACTTTAAGATATGAAGTCAGTTAATTGTATTGCAAAATTTCTATCCAATATTCTGTGATAGTATTCTTTTATGTTATCGATTTTTTACTTTTCATTCAAGTTTATTTACATAATATCATTTTAACATTTTCAAGATGTGGTTAAATTAATAACAAAATAAATCAATCTAAGAATACAAGACAGGTATACTGAATTTGTTTCTCTATATCCTTCAATTGTTCTATCTATCCAATAAACGCTGTTTAAATACAAAAATAACAGTTTAAACTGCTTCATTTACTTTGTTTATTTACAATTTGTTAGTGATTCAATTCAAACTTACTTCGTTTCTCCCAAAGACACAATACAGCAACCATATTCAGAACCAAATGATATATCTAGTTTTCGGGTTTCATTAAAATTTCGACCGTCCAAGCGCTGAAATTAAATTATTTCCAAATTACTTTTGTAGAAGAGTCTTAGGTTATATTTCTATTAGTTTCACTGTGGTTTCGACTTACATGTCCTTGAGATACGATCTTTTGTATGAAATTCTTTTCACAATTCGATAAACAAGTATCACGCATTTTGTTATTGGTTCATATTTTTTTGTGAATATTCAGTTTAATGAGGCATACCTAGCAATAAATGTGTGATTAATGATTATTTTTCTTAGGTTATCTGTTAAACTTTTTTTTTAAATTCCACTTGTTCAATTAAACAGGCAAAGGGAATATAGCCTAAAGAACTAAACCAAATGAAAGTCACACCCTTAACTGTTGAATTTAAATTAGCTGTGATTAAATTAAAATGACCTGTCAAATTGTAAAAATTTATTGAAACTTCAAAGGAATTATTGTGGATTATGGAATTACTCTACAGCAACTGGTGGCGTTTACTACATATAGAAATGTACTAGGTACTTCCAAACACTTTTTGGAAGACCTCGAAAAGCCACGTCCACAGATTTTGTTTCACTTTTTATATAGGTACGTTAATTAACAGATATTAAATTTGAAGCGACATCGAACTGTGAAAATAATACAATTCTGATCATGCGCTTTTCGGCTCCTGGTTAATCCAACCTAGATAAGTCTCGATACCTCAGATCTTAATTAATACTTAAAACTTCACGAGAACTTCACGAAAACTGCGTATATTTCACGAGGAGCGTAACAACGTTCCGAAGAGATCCGTACTGTGCTACGGCTCGGACAAATGTAAATATTATAAATATTATATAATAATACTTAAAATGTATAGATTAAATATTTAAATTCTATGATTGATAAAAATGACATTTTGTTCGAACTCTAGAGTAGCACAGGAGCTCAAATAATATCTGGGGCACAGGCGAACAGATAGGCAGGTACGTAAGCGGTTGAAACAAACACAAACTATATAGGCACAAGCTAAGATATGAATAACAACACATGGGATATGGGCAGAGCTCGAAATTCAAATTGTATTCTATAAACATCTTTCAAACCAAACCCCATGAACGTTTTACTGCTAAAATAAATAATATAATTATTTTACTTACCAGTGCTCTCTTACATATTCGATGTGAACTTAATGTCCCAATTAATACGCAAACTACATTTTTTTGTGTAGATAGGTGAACGAGCTCACGGCCCAGCAACCAACCCAGGGAACGCCAGTTAACGATCATGGGTCAGTTTGGTATGATACTCAAAAAACACATAACCATTCTTCGTTGAACCATCCTTAGACAAACTTTACAACACCCATGGGATGAGCTGGGGCGGTGCTATTCTATGACACCGCACATACACAGATTTTTGAGTTGTAATCTTATTTATGTAAAAATGAACTGACTAATGTAATAATAAATAAACACCATATTAAATTTTCTAATGATTTTCTAATGAAACCTTATGACGTTTGACATAATATTGACAGAACGCGTGCTGCAAATATGGTAAAAGAAGATGTAAAAAAACTGAATATGGTTTAAAACAAATGCTTCGGTTGGAATTAGGTAGGTATATTGATAACAACCATAAGAGTATGTAAAAACTGAATTTGACAGTTTACAGAAAATCGTTGCTTTGCGAACCAATGAACCGCTGAGTTTCTCGCCGGATCTTCTCAGCGGGTCGCGTTTTAGATCCGGTGGTTGATTCTGCGAAGCACTGTTCTTGCTAGGGCCAGTGTTAGCAACACTCCCGGTTTGAGCCACATGAGCTCACGTACACGTTAGGGTGAAGCTAAAATAGCCTCTAAAGCTATCAGCATAGGTGGGAAAAAAAACATTCATTGGTTTCCGGAAATGGGCCAGATTCTAAACATTTTTGACACATATCCAGCAAAACAATCACTACTTTCAAATGACGTTCTTTGGAGCAACAAAAGCTATCAGGAAAATTTTATGCCAACTTTCAAGGTAAAGTAATAGGATAAATAATGGACTTTTATCAGCACGTGTCTGATGCAAAATACGTTTGCAAGTTCCAATTGAAACGGCGTATCAATTGAAAGAGCGTAAAGTAAGTTTGTAGCTCTATGAATTGCCAGAGGCAGCCAGAAGTGAGTGTATTTAAAAAAGTTGATATGGTAATGGCAGTGCTCACAAAGTAGTTTGAGAGCCACGTGGTAGAGCATCATGGAGGTACTACAAACAATTGGCTATACAATAGGTATATTACGTCATTTTCTCAGGTTCAGATTTCTTTAAATGAAAATTCAATAAAATCAATAATAAATTATAGTATCCGAAGCGAAGCGAGGGCAGGTCGCTAGTCGACTATTAAAATCACACAGCTATTGATTTCGAGTAGAAATATTCAGTCTAGGACACATAAGATATTGCCACCTATCGCAATCTATCTATAGTTAATTTCTGAGATTATATTAGTCACTATTTTCGGCACATTCTGTTAGGAGTAATGTAACATTAGGAGAAATTGATTTAGTTGATCAACTGCATGGGAGATCTTCGGCAAGATCTTATACCATCCGTTTTTCATTGCCCGATATAGCTTTTTATGGAGTTATTACCTCCTCGCGACATATGTCCGAAGAAAATTACTATTCGAGATTGTTCTTTAGAAGCCTCTATATAGATGAGTTCCACCACTGAGCTTGCGTTATTAGGTTGACGGGAAAAATTAATATATAGGTTTGAGCGTTAATTGCGGAGAAGGACCTATTTTTTTTTTTTTATCTCACTCGTAATTCCAAGCAGTAGCTAATTCTATAATACTCTGAAAGTATTGTAGTACTTATGGGATATTTTTAGCTATGCTCAATATTGAAGTAGTTTAGAAAGTAAAACCAATGTCCTGGATGACTATACATACAAATCACAGGTTTCTGCTCGCGTGGTATACGGATCCTTTAGAATATAGACCTAAGTTTACGGAGAGAGGCTTTGGTTATATATTTATTATTACGCGACCAGCTCTGTAAAACACACCTCACTACACCCAAGGGAAATAAAAAAATGAAAACACGTACAACTCGTACAGTGAGAGCCTTTTATAGAATCACTTACTCCGTGGACAATCCAACTCAAGGGTAAAAAACTTTTCTCCACAATATTCTCCGTTAGCATATAGAATTGTTATGTCCATAAGCTACAGTAGCCCTTTTTGCGAGGTGCTCCTTGTACAATCGTGCTATAATTTGATATAACAAAAAAAAAACAAAAAAAAAACTTATATATTACATAAACTAAAAACCTAGTTTTATATGTAGGTACCTACTACAAATGTGATCACATATGACTATCACCCTAGTAATCAGTTATGCCGACATGCCATTAATGTACTATTGATCATTTTGTAAGAACGAAAACATGAAAGCTTTATGTGGATGATACCTTATAAAAAACTATATTATTTTGTATTTTGATTGAAGAACCTTTATAGGATGATTTTAGTATTGAAATTTTCTAGTTGCGGCTTTAAGCAGGTGGCCTCTTTGAATTAAAATCGAATCTGCATGGACAATATTCCATTATTGTTTTTTCAAACAAAAACGTTTTTGGAGTTTACTCCTTTAGAATCGATTTACATATATAGGCCCGGGGTATGAAAATTATGGGGACCAAAATCGTACTAGCATGTCACACGAAATGCGTTATGCGCCTGATTGGCTCCTGATTGCGTGATGCGTGCGCGCGCCAATCAGGAGCCAACGCGCGGCCGCGTTATCGCAGGTGACGCCGGGCTGCTGCGCCGGCAGTCCGCCACAAAGCCTCGTACTGATCGCGCGTTTCTCTCATTATTGTATTTTCATATATTTGTTAGTCGTTTGTTTTGTGTCTCGTTAATTTGTTAATAATCTGTAGTGTATCGTGTTGTCGTAATATAGAACTATTTCTCGTATTGTTTCGTTTAATTTTTTATATCCAGTAAACTCCAGTCGTGCGTCGGAGCGGACACACACACTTTTTTATTTTTATATTGTTGAATTTCTGAATTTTATCTTATCTTTCTTGTAGCACTAAAAATTGTTATGAAATAAAGTAAAAGCTTTTTTAATTTTTTTATCGCTTAGATGGGTGGACGAGGTATAGGTATATGCTTTGCTACTGTATTACAAAAGAAGGCAAACTTATTTACTACTTTGTTAACGACTTATAAAAAGGATGTAGTGGAAACTTCACAAACCATAGTATTTGCACCAAATTGGCTCGATAAAAAAACGATCGAGTTTTATTTATCTATGAGATCAATTACGGCAGTACCGCTGCAACAGTATTACTCGGAAATCTAACTAAAACCACATTCAGGCTAACGTTATTTTTTATAATTAATCAAAAGTTAAGAGCTATCCACAATATTTCGCGCGAGCGTTATTTTTATATGCGCTACAACTCACGGCGGACAAGCACGACAAACGCATCATAATATTAGAGTCGCCCACTCCGTTGGAAAACAACTGGTACGCCTGGCGATCGGCCACAATATAGACGAGTAAATAACTTTTCCACATGTAAGTAACTAAAATACTTTTTTTTCCTACCTATGCTGATAGCCTTGAGAGGCTATATCAGCGTTACCCTAGCGTGTAGGTGAGCTCTCGGAACTCAAACCGGAGGTGTTGCTAAGACTGGCCCTAGCAAGAGCAGTACTTCGCAGAATCTACCACCAGATCTGAAACGCGACCCACTGAGAAGATTCGATGAGAAACTCAGTGGGTTATAATACTTTCTGGGTTATGGATTTGTCAGAATGGGATGATAAAAGAACAAGTAAACTGAATGTATCCGGAACCTTTAACAAACATATTGACTCATAGTTGGCCTCAGTGGTAAAAGTATTAACGAACTATTACTAACGCGATCGGTGCAATAATATAAAATAATATTACATGCCATGATTATAAATAGTCCCGGAATGAGACAAATTATTCGAATAAACCTGTATATTATAGCGTAACGTTTTCCTACGTTTGCCGCTATGGGCGCTGTTCCAACTGCACAGAAATTTGAGTTAACTTTTACACTATCGAGAACGTTAAAAAACTCGCACTAAGCACCCAGAGTGCAATCTGTGCAGCTTGATGGGTCAAAACAAACCAATGCTAATGTTATTTATGTAGGTACCACATATATTTTTTTTTATTCATCGTGGCGGCAAATAAAAAAGTTAAAAAGAAAACAAGACAGATTTTTGCTGGCATTTCAGTGAAGGAGTTAGGTAAGTATGTCGATGTAAGTGGGGGTAAATAGTATGAAATTAATGGAACTGTTGTTTTCCATATTCAATACCCGGTAGTCACATGTAATCGTAGCCGGGTCCAATAGTTTCAAACAATAATAATATGTACCTAGTATATGTATAACAACAGATGTTAATCCGAAAATTGTATCATAAAGTTATACAGTTGTAAATCTCATGTACCTACTTAACAGTTTTTGTCATTGTTCCTTGTTATTATATTTCTAGTTTTTGTCTAATCTATTAGGAACTAGTAGAACACAGTACCGTTAATTCTAAGTTATAAACAATTTTTAAACATGACATTTAGTGGCATTTTTTTAGTGATAAACTTCGATCCTTAGTGTATTCAAACAACCTAGTTAAGTTAAAAGGCAGATAATAAGTAGGTAATATTGTATTTTTTCGTTAATCAATTAGATATAATTGTTCCATGTGCCCTCATCTCAATCATCCTTACTCCATACACAAATCTTTCCCGCAAATTTTAATGCCAATATTTGTTATTTTTTCGGTTTACTTTTAGCTAGTTGCGGACAAATGCACTCAACCAGTCCCGGCCATGGCCGGTATCGAGTTGATCATATCTTCAATTTGCAACGCAACAATTTGTAATGCCGTGTATGATAATCCGCTAACAGGTAATAACATTTTGAGTGTATGTGAATTACGATCACCTTTTAGCTTAATGGGCAGATAAGTTCACGGTTTGTTGAGTTATGTATTGTTACCAGAGCTCGTGGATACTTATGTGAATTTGAGCACAGGCTTATTGGAATCGCTCGATACTAGTATACTAGGCGTAATTTTCTGTGAGCTACAACAACTTCAATACGTTCTAGAAGGTATCATACAATTACATAAGCTCTTAACTGAAACATATTGTTGCAACAAATAAAACTGTACTACCACTAAACTGTACCAGATGAATCAAACAAATGAAATTCAATTAAAGTGTAAATCATATAAATAACTAGGCACTGATTAGGTTGGGGGCCAGGGGAGCGGATCTCGTCCAAGCCCTGGCCCTCTAAGTGTTTCGGGTCTCCCTTACATGTCGACGACGAAGTTCAAGCTGCTCTGCACGCGTTTTACGCAAGAGCATCCGAGTGACGGAAGGCCAGCTATCCTCGACCCACGCTGGTTCTGACCCAGCAGGGTATTCCGTGGGATAACCCTGAAATTCAAAAGTTGTTCATTAAAATTTAAGTTTGGAATTTAATGACGATGTTCATTTTCCATCTCCATCTCTCTTACGTACCTACCGCACACCGGATAGACAATTCATCTTTAACTGTGTCAGCGTAATATGCTTAAAGGGATACGTACGTACTTACGAATTGTTTCTTCACGTAGTAATAAGTAATCCACATGAACTACATGATTTTAAAAAAATTAAAAAATTATACAAGTAATATTTTTTGCAGACGGACATATGTCACAAAAGGAATCCGAGACGTTATTGTTGGCGAATGAAATAAATGGGAAGCACTTAAAGATCGGCACGTATAATGTAAGTTGTTTTTGTTGGTTCAATGTTTTTTTATATAAATATATCTCTAGCAGAAGATCCGAGGTAACTGACATAGCCCGAAGGATTGCAAGATTGAACTGGTAGAGCACATTGCTCGTAGAACAGATGGGCGTTGGCGCCGAAAAGTCCTCGAGTGGTAACCGCGCGGCGCTTATTGCAGCGTACGTATTCCTCCTGCGAAGTGGACCGGTAGCCTGCAAAATGCCACGGGAATCTGCTGGATGTAAGTTACGCAAAATCGGTATTTGTGGCGAACTTTGGCGGAGGCCTGTGTCCAACAGTGGATATCCGTAGGCTGAGAAAAAAAAAGCTTTCACAGTTTTATCTTCGCATTTATACAATTTTCAGGTTCTACAAATGCTTGTACTTGTGTTAGAAATCCTCAAGAAATTACATGTTATTGTTTAATAATAACCGAGAAAAAATCAAGCACGCCATCCGGCTCCATATTAGGATTACCTGTGTTATTGGTACCAGATAATGAAATACATACTTATATACATTTAAATATATTATAGATATAGATAATAAGCACCCAGATAAAGAGCAAAAAAAAACTTTTCCTCACCTGAATATTTGCCCGATATGGGAATCAAAAGTGTGACCCTCGGCGCAACAGTCAGGACCACACCATTGAGCCAGTTGTTTCCGCAAACGGCTTCATTACACCCGTGTAGTCTATACTAATATATAAATCTACAGTGGTTTTTACGGATGTTCCGTTAAAACTACTGAACCATGCATCCGATTGACTTAAAACTTGGTATCCACGTAGAAAATAAATGTACTTAATGGATTGGCTAATATTTATATGAGCGTTGGACTGCCTACACCAGTTGTGGGGGCGTTAATTATGAGAATCTTTGTGGGGGTGAGAAATAATAAGGTTATTTTCAAATGCCCAGCGAAGCGGACAGGTACCTACAGCTAGTTTATTTATAATTGCGTTAATTTTCTTTCCGATCAGAATTTCCCTTTAAGCTGGATTGAAAGAGATGAAAACGGTACAGTACAGGCGTACGGCGTGGCGTTTAAAATCATAGACATACTACAGCAAAAGTTTAACTTTACGTACGAAATCGTAATACCACACAGGAACTTTGAAATCGGTGGCAGCAAGCCTGAGGATTCTTTGATAGGGCTAACGAATGCCAGTGTAAGTTTGTGTTTATTTGTACTAGGTATAGTCTGGTAGATTTAGCATGATACGACTTTTTTTTTATTGCCCCTGCAGGACGTAGACTAGCCCACGGTCCACTTGATGGTGAGTGGTTACTGTCGCCCATGGGCTTCGGCAATGCCAGAGATAGTGCCAAGCAGCTGCCTACCGACCTACGGCTTATTTGTGCTTCTATATTATGCGTGTATATTCTGTAAAAATAAACTGTAATAGACTTTTTTGTATTACTTTAAGGCGAATCTACGAATTTAAAAATCTTACCTGATATCTACGCTTGCCCAGAAAGCTTTCGAAAAAGAAAGGCTCTTTTTAATTTTCCTCATAATTGGGATAATGTGTAGTGGTGATGGAATGGGTTGCCAGCCCAGATTTTGTTCGGCGTATTTCAGCTGAGTTGATCAGTGAAACTATTGATTCAGTGAACTGAGGGGTGCTAGATAAGAGGTACCTTATTTTTTTCACTTTATAGAAAGTAGACATGATAGCTGCGTTCATACCAAGGCTCGTTAGGTTCCGAAAATTGGTGACGTTCTCAAGAGATTTAGACGAAGGTGTTTGGATGATGATGCTTAGACGGCCAAAGGAATCCGCCGCTGGCTCTGGTCTTTTAGCGCCCTTTAATAACTTTGTATGGTGAGTTTTTACTAATATACGGTCAATATAGAACTTAAAGTGGTTGGTCATCTTGTGAGCCCGCACGGGTAGGTACCGCACCTCGCCTATCTCTTGCATGAGGCAGTAAAGCGTTTCGGTGTGAAGGCTGGAGCAGCCGTTGTACTGTAAAAAAAACTGAGACATAGCCCTCGTGTCTCACGGCAGATGGTACAATTTACATTGTCGATATCTATGGATACCCGGTAACCACTTAACACCAGTTTTTTTTATTGCCTTTGTAGGCAGACGAGCATACGGCACACCTGATGGTGAGTAGTTACCGTCGCACATGGACTTTAGCAATGCCAGGGGCAGAGCCCAGCCGCTGCCTACTGCTTAATACTCTCCACAAGCACCGTTTGAAGAGGGACATGTCATAGCGCTCGGGAAACACCAAGCAACATTATCAGGCCATGAGTCCGTCCACTGTAAACAATACAAAAATAAAAATAAAAACAATCAACACTAACACTAATTAACACTAACGGTTTAATCTCGCGTTTTATTTATACCTCTCTCTGACTTTGTTTTTTATCATTTTTCAATAGTAGATTTTATAAATAAATCAAGTCACTTTACTGTCTGTCCTCGTATGTTTTAGATGGCGTATTTTCAAAGAATCTTTAAACAACTGAATACAATGTCGTATTTTTAGGTACGTAACTCTTGCTTCGGTATTGTGTTATGGGCCGTGCATATGTTTCCTGACTCACGTGAGGTCAAAACTAATTAAGAATGAAGAACGGCCGCTGCGACTTTCGCCGAGTTTCTGGTTCGTGTATAGCGCTTTTATAAAGCAAAGCACAAACTTAGCTCCCGAAGCTAGTAAGTAATAATTGAACTCTTAACAGAAAAAAACTTTAGTTTATGTTTTAGTTGAGAAAGAATAAAAACAGGTACTATATTACTATTTATAAAGATACACTATTTATCTTTACACGACTCAGCTTCTACGTAACAGCACATTAATTTCATGGAATCTTAATTAAACCCAAAATTTCATCAATTTTTTAAGATTTATTATTTTATTGTGTCGTTAAGATGGTTTGATAATAATCCTGGAAGTGGGTACCTTTAGATTTGTCTTAACTATTCACATTAATTTTTTTGCTATTAAATTTTTAATTATGAAAATCATTTGTTGACACTATAAACTTGCATCTAGTTAAATAATTAATCTACACATTACGAATTAACTGCTCATATGTTCAGGAATGCCTTCCACTTTATAGGGATCGCGTCTCTATATCGCGAAATAAAATTGGTAAAATATGTTTAATACCTAAATAGCTCGTGATCCTTTTAAGGGCCTTCAAACTCACATCTCAAAGGGGCATGTTGTTATGTGGCCTCTCACCCCTAATTCCAGGTAGGACGGGAGTTTATTCCTCTGCCTAGTTAAAATAAAAATAAAAAAGATTTTGAAGATAACCATTAAAGATTCTTGTCACAAAAACGATTTCAAATATCACATAATAACTTTAAAAAAAACAAGTACGTACTTATATTTTTTTAAGGTTATTGTGTGAGTTTATTTTGTCATTAGATTGACACGACCGTGATTTCGTAGTGGCTGGTCAACGACGATGGTATCGGCTGCCCTAATGGTTTACGTCATTTATCAATTTCGGTGACACCCTTCCATCAATATTCAACGGTCGTATGATAACACGGTGCACACTGGTTATTATTTTTATAATTGATTGTCACATTTATATAGGAGAATCGTAAATAAAATGGGCTAGATGTAATGATGTGTTTTTGTTATCTACTTTATAAAGCCTATTGTGGATTTTTTTATAAATGGGCTACGACATCGCGTGTCTACTATTTTTCAGTGGTTATTGGTGTGTATAGATATTACAGTATCAATACTACCATCCACCTTGGGACATACGATCGAAGCATCAGTTGGATTGTATTACTTATGGTCCTAAGTTTGGGCGTGACTGCAGCAAAAATAGGCAGTAGTATATAGTAGCATAGTAATTAACCGTAGGGCATGACAACATGTCCTACCACCAGTAAAGATTAAATTACAACGACAGTTGCTGTTTTTCGGGTATTTGCTTCGCAATAAACGACGAGTTTCTGGTAAATAAGGTATCTTGATATAGATTCCGTAACGATAAGTCCGTCTGGGGGATGTTTGAATATAAATTTCTAGGGGAGGCGTAAAGCGCTATACAATAAAAGCTGAAAAAACACTTAATCAGAAAATAGAGTTGCAGTCAAAAATAATTTAACGGCCACACTAACGTAGGTCCCAACTTGGGTTGATAAAATAGTTTGTGGTGCATTTTAGTGCGCTTGGTGTATAATCCTATGACAATTGGTCTTTTTGGAAGGCTTCCTTTGCATAAAACGGACGCTTTTACTTTTTAGAATACGCTGTTATTAACTCATCTGTATTTATTTAACGGATTCCTTAACCTTAACCTTTTATTCACAACAGGGTTACCAGGATTAAAAAAAGTTTTCCTCGATACATTTTTTTTAAAGTTTATAAACTATTATAATGTTATCTTGCAGACACAACACGTGTTTTGTTCGCAACGTGGTGGCTATTCATTATATTGCTCTCAGCGTTTTACACGGCAAACTTGACTGCTTTCCTGACATTGTCCAAGTTCACACTAGACATTGAGACTCCGGAGGATTTGTATAAGAAAAACTACCGTTGGGTCTCCGTTGAAGGTGGTTCCGTTCAACACACTGTTAAAACAGTAAGTTTAAATCGAGTAAAATTTACATTCGTCTGTGTAGCTTATACTGTTAATGAACAAACTTCTTCGAGTCCACTTTAGTTGTTTTTAATAAATAATTGTAGTAGGCAAAAATTATATCTAGATTTCGTTACCGAATCGGGTGCTTTCCGTATTTGACTAAATACGTAAGTATGTTCGTAGCATGTGGTCACAAACGATTTCCACGTTCATTTAGTAAAATCATCGTGTATTTTTTTTAAATGATGGAATGAATTCTGATCGTTGGTATCGCCGACCTGTCTGTTTCTCCCGCCAAGTTTTCATGTGTTCTGATTTCGAGGTTAATCGTTATTTCGATTAAATGAGACTTGTATGCGTTCTCTCAGTGAGCTGTGGGGTGGCGGTTTGATTTAAGTTACGTAGTTAAAAACTTTTATACACTCAATCCGTGCTTATTTTAGCAGGACGAAGACCTTTACTATTTAAACAAAATGGTGGCCAGTGGCCGAGCAGAATTTCGTACGTTGTCGCCAGACCAGGAGTATCTCCCAATTGTGAAAGCTGGGGCTGTTCTCGTCAAGGAGATGATTTCTCTAGAACATCTCATGTATGGGGACTACCTGACGAAGACTCGTGAAGGCGTCGAAGAGGCTAAACGATGCACTTACGTTGTGGCGCCTAAGCCTTTCATGAAAAAGCCCAGAGCGTTCGTGTATCCTGTTGGCAGTAAGCTGAAGAGCCTTTTTGATCCTACGTATGTACATTACTTCAATAATACACACGGCAAGTTTGAGGGATTTGGATAGCTATTACCTATACAATACAATTCATATTTCGGCCTGATCCTTCGAGGTGGGTGACGCCGTTCTCATTGTGTGATCTATGGCTCAATCACCCGTCTAAGTAATAAAAAATGCCTTAAAATGCGTTTAAATGATAATTGTGTATATTACTTCAATGCAGTTGAAAATTCTAGTTGGTTCAAAACGACCGCCCTTAATCATGTTTTATTGAATCAGCATTCAAGTCAAATTTTCTATTTTAAATGAAAAAAATATATAAAACTTTTTAATAACGATCTATTTTATTATTAGACATCAAATTTTCGTAAAGGGGTCAATGTGATTAGTGCTAGTTTTTTAACTTCTCGATCGCGATAAAGTTAACTTAAATTTGTATGGAGTCGCTGCTAACGGCAAACAAAGGGAAGCTGTTCCATACAAATTAGAGTTAACTTTAACGCGATCGAGAAGTTAAAAAACGCGCACTAAGCACACTGTATATGGAATCGAATCATTAGTAAATTACAATAAACCTAAAAAAACAACTTAAATGGACGATCTACGACTCTGAAATTAATCTATTATTCTAATATGTTAATCAGTAATCAATTATATAACTTCTTTCTTTGTTTTCCAGTCTTGCATACATATTACAATCGGGTATTATAGATTATCTTGAACACAAAGATTTGCCGTCAACCACGATATGTCCTCTGGATTTGCAGTCCAAAGACAGGCAGTTGACCAATAGTCACCTCATGATGACTTATTACATAATGTGCGTTGGGCTCGCCTCGGGTTTAGCTGTTTTTGTAGTGGAGGTATGTAATAACACATTCCTTATTACCTGCATATTACATTGTATCATGCCGTTTAAATAGTATATGACTCATAAATAGGTAATTAAAGCTCTAGTTATAAACAGCTATGAATTAAAGGTAATAGTTATAAGTGGTTGGACATACTACATAATATTATTAAGCAATTTACTTAGTATGATGTACGAGAAGGTACAACTCATGTCTTTTCTATTAGGTCACTGACTCTTAGTGTGAAGTAAGTATTTAAGTAGTAGTAAGGAAGTAAGTATTAGGCCTTTTTTTAATTGCTTAGTTGGGCGGACGAGCTAACGGCCCCTCTGGTGCTAGGTGGTTATCGGAGCCCATAGACATCTACACCGGAAATGCCACCACCCACCTTGAGACATGAGTTCTAAGGTCACAGTATAGTAACAACGGCTGCCCCACCCTTTAAACCGAAACGCATTACTGCGTCACGGCAGAAATAGGCAGGGTGGTGGTATCTACCCGTGCGTGCTCACAAGGCGCACTACCACCGGTAAAAAATAAATACTAGTAATGTACTCTTGTTCGCTTAGTGCAAATTTATCATGAAAAGTAGGAGTCAAAAAATTTCTATTGTGACCAAGACATTATTTCAGATATTAGTCAAACGATACATCAATATTAAGATAAAACCTATCGATAAAGTGAAATTGAAGAAGTTCAAACGGAGTAAGCGCTCCCCACGTTACGATGACAGTGGACCGCCGCCATATGAATCCTTGTTTGTTAAACCGAAGTTCAAAGGCTCAGAAAAACGTTCGAAGATGATCAACGGCAGGGAATATTACGTCTATGAAGATGGCCGAGGGGGTACCAGGCTTATTCCCGTGAGGACTCCATCGGCTTTTTTGTATCGTTAATAAAGCCTTTTTTTTAAACCATAGACAAGATTGAGCTCGAAGACGAACATAGATTGTTGTCGTCTCTGAAATTATAACTTAAACTTTGATTTTGATAAGCGAGAACAGCTAACAGCTATGTTAGGCTATGATAAATAAGGATTCCACATGACCACCACCTCATGATACTCTGCAAAGAGTAACCGACTATATTGATGATGAAGAAATGATGACAGCGGCTTGGCTATGACTCTGGATTTGCTGACGTACATGGATGACGGTGATCACTCAGTCTGAGTACAAAAATTATAAAACAAATTAGAAGAAAAACTAACTGAGATGTTGATACATACTACTATTAATAGTTTTTTTTTTGTTTCTGTCTATTTATGTATTAACTATGCACCAGCACGTGTTAATAAGGAGCAGAATCGAATAAAGGTGTGAAATAAAACAATGTTTTATTTTTGTAATGTGTACTTTAAATAATTTATTTTTTTCGTAACCATTGGAAAGTAGGTACATTTGCAACGTACATTTTTTGGGGATACTTCGAATGTCACATACATATTCGGATGAGAGTCATCCTACAATCAACAGTAGCATTGCACTATTTTTTTTAACATAAATAAATAGTAATATATTGCAATGTATGTGTTTAAGCATATATTCAAATATCAACGACTAGACTGTTTATTGACATAATGAACTTATTTATGTAAGGCATGGAGCTTCATCTACAATCTCCACCATTTACTTATTCTAGAATCTGTTTAATTGAAAAAGCCTATACAAGTAAGCATGTACAAAACTTGGGCAAAAAAATTAAGTAAAAAAACCATTGATTGTTCAGGCAACGGAATATGTAAATCATTTGAAGCATCGGAAATAATGAAATGAAATAAATGCGAGATTATAACCATAAAAACAGTTCTAATTACGACTTTCATTTATAATCATAGAAAGAGGTTGAGGGAGTCCGAATTGAGTTCCTTGTTTATTTCGCGTGAAAATCGTGTTTTTGGTTCACTCGTAATTAACACTACAATTGAAAAATAGGAGTTTTATTGTTGCAGCGGCTTTAAGTTTTACACTTATTTTTTTCGTCATATTTTTGGCGGTAAAAAATCTCGTGTCACAGACTATCTTCTTTTTTCCATTTCTCGTGCGTTCCGGCTTACGCATCATAAAAAAAGGTGCGTTCTTAAACGCCACACCGTTTTACTACTACTAGGGTATCTTGCTGCCCACTGAGTTTCTTGCCGGATCTTCTCAGTAGGTTGCTATTCCGATCCAGTGGTAGATTCCGTGAAGCACGGCTCTTCCTAGTTTGAGCCCACAGAGCTCACAGTTAGGGTTACGCTGACATAGCTTCTCAAAGCTATCAGCTTAGGTAAGGAAAAAAAGGGTACCTTGGTATTTTATTAAAACTTTATTCGTGATTACTTGTATTCTACTATACTGCAATGTCTTTAGATTTCCTTCTAAAAATTTTAATTCGACATGTATAACACAAACCAAAAAAAGGGACACGCAATCAATATTGTAATTGAAGTATGTATAAACTTTCCTTGAGTGGGTGCTCAGTATCAGCATACACTTAACATACTTGTTATCAAATTATATTATCACGATAATACGTCGTTGCGTCATCCACGTAGAAATTATAACGGGTCAGTGACCTTTAATAATGATGCCTATTTGAATATATGCTTAAAGGGAAATATTTATAATATTCGTGTCTATTTTATTCAACATCGGCGATGCGTACATATTTATTTATATAAAAAATCTTTAGTTCCACTAACATTATTTTATCGAGAATGCAGGTGTTGTGTTTAATAATCCTTAGTCTAAGTATTTTTTAGTTTAATTAAAAAAAACACAGCGGCCGTCTTGTCTAACTTTGCTATATCATTACTAAAACAAACGAAGATATAGAATTATTATTTGAATAGAAATGGCACCAGGTGACCAAAACTCTCACCGTATTCTGTCACCTCAGTTGTGACACTTGAAATATTTGAGACTTGAAGTTTACCAACATTTTGTTAATATCGATTTTCTATAAATCACGATCGTTGTTTTACAGTTAGACATTACGGCACCGATGCTGACACACTTACATCGTTACGATACGTGACGATGCGGCATTATTCTCTAGGGCAAGGCTGCTCCAATTGAAAATTGAGTGTCGCTCACACATAACCAGTGTGCTTAGTGCGAGTTTATTAGCTTCTCCTCCTCCTAGCGGTTATATAGAGGGGCTATTCCAACTCCATACAAATTTGAGTTAACTTTAACGCGATTGAGAAGTAAAAAAAATCGCACTAAGTACACACATATCGAGTTCGGCGTGTACACGATGGAAATTCGACAAAGCCTCCGCTTTGAAAGTGATTTTATTCTTCGTAAAAATATGAAGACCAATGTGCTCCCAAATCAGAACGAACATTAAAACTAAAGTCCACACACACACACACACACCATCGTAACTGCACAAGCAACGTTTTCTTAGTAATAATCGATACACTTCTATGCTATCTAGAAGCGTGGCTGCACGTTCAAGATATATATAAAAAAAAGACTACACATGATATTCAAGTCTATGAATAAGTTGATAAGCCGTGCTCTAGAGAAAATATTCGTGTGTAATTACCGTGAATTATTCGCTCGTCTCACAGACGAAAATGTTGTCAAACAATATTCCAAATACTATTATTAACGGGGTCTCACAAAAAATGTAGTTATAGTAGATACCCGATATTTGAGCCTTAAACGATAAGGTACACATGCACACAGTAACCTTCAGTGGTAACACCCAAAAACGATCAAAAAAGAGGGTAGACAGATTTATCTGTTCTTCAAATTCTACCCGTGATCAGGGTTATGCTACATAGGTGAATTATCGGGAACTCTAACTAAACTCAAACATTCCAGTAATAATCCGTTAATGTACATATTTATAGAGTAGATAAGTTTAAAACAAACAACAAACCGCGAAAGTTTAAAACAATTCGTAATCTTACAATATATCAACGACTCGGTTTTGGTTTTTCGACTTACATACCTACATTCATAATACATAATATATTTATATATTAATTTCTTAATAACAACTTTTATTTCTAAATAATTAATTATTTAGTTCTCATTATAAATCTCTACAGTGGTATTCGAATACTGAAACATCATTGAGATTGCCGACAACAGAATTTGTGTGCGGCACATACATTTTCTAGTGTGTAACTTCTCTATATCATATATAATGTCTGTTGTTTTTTTTCTGTTTGGTAAAGAGACAAACACGTGTCTCCTAAATTATGTTCGGGAGTAGTGATGGGAATTTCACGGGATACATATATGTAGATATAGCTGTGAGCTGTTTGGTGCAAAAACCGTTAATAAACATTTCAACTGAGATTTGGTGTCAGGATTCAATAGTACCTGTCTTTGGAAATAGTTGAAACACACACAATATATTTATCTATGTCTTTGGTTAGATTAAATCGATTTTAATGAAATTTCAGTATTCTAATTAAGATGAGATTAATTATACTAATTGATTTAACTAGCAACACGCGATCTAAATAATCTTAGATCTAATTATTCTATAGTATATTTTCTCACTGACGCACACAATCGATTCTATTATAAACACCTTATTTCACTTTTTTCTTTTTATTGCCCTTGTAGGCAGACGAGCATACGGCCCACCTGATGGTGAGTGGTTACCGTCGCCTATGGACTTCAGCAATGCCAGGGGCAGAGCCAAGCCGCTGCCTACCGTCACATGTCAGCAACTTACCCAACAACTTATTAAGGGTAATACAAACAGATCGTATGATTTGTAATCGTCAAATCCGGACACAAAGACTTGATTCACTTCTAGAGCCGTATTGTATCCGTTGTTTCTAGAAATGAAGAAAAACAAAGGAAGTGGATTGCTATAGTAAAAAAAAATTAATCAGAATATCTTTCAAGTGTTTTGGTTTCACGACCTTTACGTAAACCAGTCCGATTCAAAGCCGTTGGCGAATTTCTATTTCCGAGAATGTTTAATAATCATTACACATCATAGGCGTGCATTGCGTCATATTAGTGAGAAAATATCACTTTGATATTTTATTTAAACCCTCATAGCAACACTGCCCACGCTAGTTTGCATTTCACTAACTTTATCTTGCATTTGGTGCATTTATACTTACACTATCTATTAATGCGAGTTTGTATTCAGTAATCATGTGTACCGTAACAAAATAACATAGCTCAACTCATTAAATTTCACTGGATAAGAACTTTTATTATTTAAAAGAAAATCAAAACAGAAATATATGTAGCTGTATATTAAATTTATTTCATATTACCTAAAGTACCTTTTAATCCATTTATTTTAATTATAAGTACTTAATTATCTTATAACGTACGTTTTATATTATTTTCAAATGGTAGTTGTCGATGGATATGATTTGAACACAAGTAGGAAGCTTTCTAAAGGTTTTAATCATATTGAGCATACATTAAACTGGCAACACTCGAGGTAAAGTAGTTTAATAATTTTATGTTACAAATCACCAAACAGATATACGCTTCTGTCATAGTTTTAGTGTCCCGAACAAGATCTAAATAAAACGATTTTTTCGTCACAGAGGTAGTTCATTGGAATATTTAAAAACTAGAAAGTTCACAGTTCTATCGTCGTGAACAAATTGTGATGGTAATCATTCACGAAGGCCGGTCCTCCCGTGTGTCAGACGGTCAGCCTACCGTCCAGTGGCGACGGTAGCAAGGAACTAAAAACAAGGCTATTATTAAGAATTTACTAACAAGCCATCTATAGGGTGCTTATTATTTTAATGTCACAATGCGGGTATGTTGTCATGAAATTCGCATGCACTTTGAATAGTTACCGAATGAAAATCATAGATGGCGTTATTATCTATATAAAAAAAAACGTTTTTAAAAATTTACTGGAAAACAAAAATTTCATGTTAATTACAGTTACAAACTTAATTTATAAATAAATGAAAATATATTTCACACAGTTGGCTAAAATCGAATTCCATGAAACCATGTCTTCAAGTCACAATTAAAAGAAAACTACCTTAAAACAAATAACAGAATTTAAAAAAAAAATGCAACAGAACACAGAACAGCTGAATGTGAACTCTAAACTCTACTATCACAAAGTACGAAATGAATGAGGTTTATAAAAAAAAAAACAAAACAGTTCGATTTATAAATTGATTCACGTGACGAAAAACATCGACGACAGTACATGCAGTTATTTTTGTCATTCGACGAACCCGCATTCGAGGGCTTCCAGGTTCCACCCAGGCTTGGGTGCGTTGCCGGCGATATTTGAGGAGACGGACTCCGATCGAGACGCCATGTTCCTCTGTCTACACATATACGGCGTGACGGCCGCCGGCGGTGTTAATGTCTCCTGAAAAAAATACGCTTTAGTGAACAAAATACTAATTTCTCCGAAACGATTTCTGAATTTTTATTCCTAGTCTTAATTGAAGCTGCATTTAAAACTGCGGTTTGCAACATATAAGTATTTGTTCATTTAAAAAATTGTTAGTAAGTCGGTGTTACAAAAACAAAAAACAGCGAAAAATAATACCTCTATATTTATCTGTATAATTTGGTTAGATAACGAAATCTACGAATACACATCATACAAAGTAAATGTTACCTGTATATTTGTTACTGAATTTGATATCGCTTCACGAAAGGTCAGAGCAATTGTTTGAATTCTTGATAAAAGTGATTCCCAAGTAAATTGTTTCTTTAAAAATGTATGCAAATGACAATTGAAAGTCCCTCTGTATATCAAAGGCATGTCAAGTAAATATTTTACTTGTAAACTTTGTGCCAACTTAATTTGGAGGGTTTTGTTTAGTATTGAAATTCAGTTTTCATGAAGTTAATTGAACTAATGGGCTTTGTGTCCAACCAATACTTTGCTTGACCGTGAGTGGATATGTACTTATTAGGTACTTTAATTATGTAATTTTATATTTTTGTCGATTGAGTCCAATTAAAAAAGGATGAGGAACCTACTGGTTTTATGGATTCTGTTTTAATCTCCATTTTTTTACTTTATCTAGAGTTTTCAGTTCGTAAAGAGTACTGCTCAATATTTTTAAGTCAATTTTATTTTTAGCATAATCCGAGATAATTTATGCTATTTGGAAACTTTAATGTTTATCTATATCAATAGAAATTAAATTTTGTCTATTGGTATGCGCATAACTTGCTAATTGAACAGATATGGATATTTTTTAATTGTGTCCATGGTAGTAGGAATACACATTTAAGACAAAGAAAAATAGGATGTTGTCAAGAACTATAGAAAAATCACAAAACAAATTATTTATATTTAAACAGGACACTTAAGATTGAATAAAAGCTTCAGTCTTGGAGCGGATCATCATAAAAAAATTTAGGCTTTCTTCAGACTCCAAGCAAATTTTATTTTATCATTGTCACATAATATGTTACATATGGTATTTCTGAAATTAAGGCCCTATTTATTGAGCCATTTTTATTTTCTGCGTATAAGGTAGAACGTAACGACTTTTGAGAACATGTTCTACATCGAATCTTATAATATTTTTAAAAGTCCAAGAAAAAAACTTTTTCATCGTCACAAGATAACAATTTTTACGTACAAATCGATACTACTCTTAAATTTTTACGGGCAGGTTAGTTAGTATAGAAGTCGAAAGAGTACACCTCAACCTAGTTATTAAAAAGGGCGTGCAAGGAAATTTTAGTCATACAAAAAAATAAATCAAAGTCAAATCCAACGTATAAAATGTTTTACATTTTTATTTAATACAGTAAAAGTATATTTTTACATGAAATGTACAAAAAAAAAACACAGCCTCAGTTACAACATTGGCACTAAGAAAACATGATTTTTTTTATAAATATATTTATACATTGTATTAGTTAATGCTATTTTTTTTTTAAATTAAACAGTCCTTGTTCCTTTTTGCTCGACGGTTGGCAGTCAGCACAGTCCACACGTATCAACCTCATCTCCATTAAAAAGTTTTATCGAACTCTTATTGTCTCTAAACCGTTATACTGTAATCGGAAAGGACATTTTTAGGTACTTTCGTTAATTATAAGTACAAAAATGTCGTTGATATTGTTTTCCAAGTAACTATGACGTAATAACAGAAATTAAATCGATTTTGCCCATAAAATGTCGCGTTTCATTTTAGTGTTACCATATATGTATATGAAAAAAAAAAAAAATTAAAAAAATTTATATAGTAGGCAGTAACAATGTTTGCTTGATATTTAGTGACCGGTGCGAAACGTGTGATCAGGTAGAAAAATCAGGAAAATTTTCAAGGTAAAATCGAGTTAATCACTGTTATTTATAGTTATAGAGCATAGTTGAAATTCAAAGGAATAAATTTTATTAACAACGATGTACTATAATAAAAAATAAAATATGTCGTGTCTACGTAACATCCGAGTCGATGTTGCTTGATCTGTATCCTTCGATTGAATGCGAAAGTTTCGGTAGATGTTAAAAGATAAAAAGTTCCAGCTTTTTTGAATTTTACAAAAAACTAACACAGTGCAATTTTGTTTAATTTGACACATCTTGAAATAAACAAGAATCAACTTTCATATATAAATAGAGCATTGAATTCATGCTTAGCTATGACATTACCGAAAATAACGCACCAATTAAAATTCTTTTACTAAACTATAAGTGCACAAGATTTATATAAACATTGTGTGTATTATACAAAATAAAACTTATAAAATTCTACTTAACGCTTCATCATCTTTCGTAAAATCACAGCAGTTATACATACGTAAAATAATAATAATTATTATACAAAATATATATACACGTAAGATGACAGCAAATAGTACATTAAAGAGTCCGGTTAGTGGTCTAAAGGTAGAATAAAAAAAGTCAATTTCATTAATCTAATTTAACTATAAATATGTACAAGAAACCACCACCAGAATAAGACAATAGATTTAACTCATCACAAAGATACAGTAAAGATTATTTGATCTAGCGTTTTTTTTTTTTTTTAATTAGGTAACACTTAGAAGTACGCAATAAATTTGCAAAATTTTAATCTGGCAACCCTGGATACAGAATAAGCTTTCTTAAATTAAAAAAAAAAAAACGCTAGACTTAGAAAGTTATAGTTATGATATTATGTAGGCGATATTAAATGCTATAATATCATAGTACTGACCTGCTGATTGGGACCGCAACACGTGGCGTTGTGGCACAAGTCATTGGGTGGACAGTGAAGGGCGCACGGTGCTTCTATCGCCCCACTCTGATTCTATAACAATACGTTATTTGTTTACTTACATTAATTGATTGATCTAGAAGGCTGACTGGAGACTGGGTAGTAGGACCTCTTGTGAGTCCGCACGGGTAGGTACCACCTCCCTGCCTATTTCTGCCGTGAAGCAGCAATGCGTTTCGGTTTGAAGGGTGGGGCAGCCGTTGTAACTATACTGAGACCTTAGAACTTACATCTCAAGGTGCGTGGCGCATTTACGTTGTAGATATCTATGGGCTCCAGTAACCACTTAACACCAGGTGGGCTGTGAGCTAGTCCACTCATCTAAGCAATAACAAAAAAAAAAACCTTTTTTTAAATGATAACAAGCGCCCCTGGACATCAGAAACGGAATGAATACACGAAGCCTGGCCGCTGCCTACGGTACATTCCTTAAAGTTTGTCTGGAGAGACATGTTATAATGCTTACGAGAGAAACGGAGGGAAATTCAGGAAATTCATTCCAGTCCCGAATATAAATACAGCCGGTAATATTGACTGAATCTATGGACGTGCAAAAAGATTCGCTTCACAAGCGATACATTATTGAGTATCACTCTTTATCTCAGGTATACGATGTTACTAGGCTTAACGATTTTAATAATAAATATTAAAATTGACAGTTCTTGGTGATATAAAAATATGCATAAAAGATACTTTTTGCATTTTGAAAACATTAAAAAATGTTTTATGCGAATGCAAATAATATATAGATTCATATGGATACAGAGAAATGATAACAGGATTGTTTTATTCACAGCAAAATTTAACGTTTGGCTGCCATATCAAATATGTCGTTTCGTATAACAGTAGATTGGAAACTTTGCAACAGGATAAGACAATAGATAATGTTATTAAGATAATAAGATAATGTTAGCAAAATTCTAGTATTTACATTTAGAATCAACTACATTGTAGTGTGGGTTTATCAATTAAATGATATTTGTACTAAACCACTTGTAGCGATATAGGCGGTCGATCAATGAAAAATAAACAATTGTTCAGGAAGACAGAAGGTAAAAGTCTAAATTTATTCTAGACAGAGAAGCATACTATATTTAACAATGACGTCAATATTCACATCCGTCATACAAATTCTATACTAAAACTCCCTTTAAGTGGTAGGACCTCTTGTGAGTCCGCACGGGTAGGTACCAGACCCCTGCCTATTTCTGCTGTGAAGCAGTAATGCGTTTCGGTTTGAAGGGTGGGCAGCCGTTGTAACTATACCTTAGAATTTATATCTCAAGGTGGGTGGCGCATTTACGTTGTAGATGTCTATGGGCTCCAGTAACCACTTAACACCAGGTGGGCTGTGAGCTCGTCCACTCATCTAAGCAATAAAAAAAAAAGAAGGAAAGGGACAGAATATAAAACCTCACAAAAAACGTTTCATATTTAATTGTATTATTCAGCTATCGAATTGGTTATATTGAATCACGACATCATTCAAATATCCAATCGAATTACAAAACACCGGATGGCTAATAAAATATTCGTAATGCGACAGCCTTTTGTATTATTATGGTATTATGTATTATGGTATTTATTATGTGCTCTTTATTTGGGTACATTTACTAAAAACATTACATCATAGTGAAAGGTTTAAATTTTATATGAATATGTAGAAATTAAGTTATTTATAAATTTTTTTCATAACATTAGTGGCCTAACCACTAGCAAATGCGAGGCTGGTTCGTAATTGAAATCTATACAAATAAATAAAATTAGGGTGTCTGTTTGTAAAATAACCACTTTTTACTAAATGCGTAACTATGTATACCGGCGTCAGATTAGCAGTACTTTGGCCTCCTTAAGGGGGGAGGAAGGCCTCCGCGCTTTCACTTCCCCCAAAATAATTGGCTCACCAAAAAGCCTCTCCACATCCTTGTTTTTCCGGACGTGCCAAGAACCGTCATCATTCTGATACGAATAGTGACAATTACGTAGACCCCCCCCTCCTATTTTTTTAACAATGTCAGTAGCCTCTAACGAATTCACGAATTGAAATCGTTTACCGTTTTAAATTCGCAGATAGCAAAAACAAGATAAGGAATCGTAACTATTCAAATGGCAATCGAAGTAAACACATTTAACCTCAATCAAACTAATCCGGGCAATTGTATTTTATCAATAGTTGCATGAAGGATTGTATATCATTTATAATTAGGCATTAAGTGTCTATATATCCATAGAAACATTCTTTAGACACATATTTCTACCCTAAGCCCCGGGATTTAAGCCAAATTACCTCAGTGATCTATCTGTGAAACTCAGTTTTATTCCGACCCATATCGCGTTGTCTATATATGTACATACCAAGCAAAATACAAAAACACAAAAACTCACTTCATTTTCGTCTTGAGGTCCTTCAACGAATTCCGGCTGTATCGTCGTCGAGTGAATACCTTCGTTGTGAAAGAATTCTTTGACTTTCTCGGCTATCTTCATATATTCAGACAGGTTGCGACATCTAAAACAATTCAAACAATCCAATGTTCTTAATGACGAAGGAAAATATCACTATCCTTCGGGAATAGTATTTTTTTTCTGCATAGAATATTACTCTTTTATTCTTTTCTGTACCGCTGACAATGTCCATGAAACTTTTATGACGATCGGTCGAGTATTTGAAACTTTAAAGCGTAGCAAATACACAAACTAAACATTGCATTTATTTATCTATCGGATTTAAAGTGAACCGAATTTAAAACAAAGGACATGGAAATGTAGTGATGACATCAAAATTTCTATTCAAATTGAAAACGTAATTAAGTAGAGCAGTTTAAGCGCAAAGACAAAAATTGTATTCACAATTTCATTGTTTGTGATTTTATCTCGGAATTTGATATTGTAATATAGTTTTTTTCAACTCGCAATTTCAATAATTTTCTAAAAATCTGTTTAAAAATAGAACTCTGTTCAGTTTACGCACTTAAAAAATCTAATACATTTATTAATATTTTGGCTGTGGGGTGTCCGCCTATATTAGCGACACTCCATTCCTTCTAGGTATCATAATCGACTTAGATATTAGATGAGTGAACGAGCTCACAACCCATCTAGTGTTAAACATTTATCGGAACTCATCATCAACGTAAGCCTTCACCTCACCTTCAGACACGAAATCGAGGTCTCAATAGGCAGTTAATCAATTATAGGCAGAAACGTGGTACCTACCCGCACGGACTAACAATACGCCTGTAGGGACTATATATTTATAAGCGATAAATATATTACAGTGATGCTATAGCGGTCTTTTTTTATTTTTATATATTGAATTCGTCGTGGCCTAAAGGCTAAGACGTCCAGTGCATTTGTATGTAGCGATGGGTGAAGTAAAAAAAGCGGTCTCCAGATTGTCGGATTGTCGATAGCACGTTGCGTTGTAATCATTATAACCCGAATATACTTTAGTCGCTTAACTGACCATCGTGTCTCATTAGCCTTACCTACTGGATATAGGAACTCAACACGCCCTAAAGTAATTTTCAGATGACGAACGTACTACTCTGGTATAATGCTCAGAAAACGCTGCTCCTCATTCTCCCTTATCCGTCTTTTACGATACAACAAGGAAGAACCGCGTTGATGTACTGACTTTATTCTAGGCTACACCACACATCCACTGTATTAGTGAAATAGTATTTTGATATCTCATTAGATAAGATTTTATTGCAATACTAGCCGTACTCGCCCGCTTCGCTGGGCATTTAAAATTATCATTATTATCTGTTGTCATTATTATTAGGGATCCAACACTCCTATAAATATTAGCCTATCCATTAAGTACATGTATTTTCTACATGGATACCAAGTTTCAAGTCAATCGGATGCATGGTTCAGTAGTTATAACGGAACATCCGTAAAAACCACTGTAGATTTATATATTAGTATAGAAGTATAGATAACAAATACATGGGTAGTTAAAGAATTCGTAAAATACTATTTTCTAATTCTACATAATCTATATATTATGTAGGTATTATTAGAAAATCCGAAAACATTGTCGTCGTCTCTAAATATAATATTCGTTACGTTACGTATTGAGAATTTATATTGCACTGTGTAGGTATTAGTTCGTTCACATTAGACTAAAACTGTTTCCACCTACCTACTCAATAATACTATTTTGCTGAAATATTATATTATTAATACGTTCTTAACTAGTCCATTGACCATTATTCATCTAAGACTAAGCTAGATTAGATTAGATGGATTCTTTTTAAATCTTTCAATTCCATTCTTTTGCAATTACATATATGGCGTGGTAAATTTATTACTAGTTTATCTAAAAAAAAATTCGTCACAGATCCACATTAAGTAGTCAATAGGTTTTGTGTCGGATGTGACTTGCAACTAACCTCACATAGGTAGTGACGATATAGCTATTTTTTATTGTTCATTAATTAGTTACACCATTGTGTGGCCGGTTATAGAATATAAACACCGCCATTACAAAATTTGTTTACGATTACAGCCGTGTTCTAGTAATTTGCTTGTGACATAACGTCATAAGGAAACATGACGAATTACAATATTTTAAAATCATTTGCCAATGTTCTAAGAGCAAAAAAAAATCAAATATTATGACAGTTATAAAAATAATAACACAGTATCAAAATCAGTAGTAAAAAGATCGCGAATTAAAATATGAAATTTGACATAAAACCCTATTTAAATCTACAATTTAGCTTACATTACTGCTCGAAATTATGCACGCCGCCATGTACAAAGCGCAAAAGTACAGACGTTAAAATTTATAAGAAAAATTCACGGTACATTTATTATTACGATATGATAAATAAAGGCATTGGTTCATTGACATTAACACTGGAACAAAGAATATTCAATGTTGGATTCTTGCCAAAATCGAATCACTTGCGAAGAAGTTGCAGAAAAGTACGTTGTTAAATGCAAAATTTACAAATTCGCACATTTAGAAAACATTCGTGTCATTCGGTCATCTTTGAGTCTTAAAATTCGTTCCACTTTGTATTAATGACATAAAATTAAAAACGTCGACAAAAGAATTTGTATTCAATTTACGTATAGTACTTTGTAGCAGAACGCGTCGTGCACTGGTGGTAAAATAATCCTTAAAGAATTTAAATAAAACTATTTTTGCGTTATAAAACTAATTTTACGGTTTAATTTAGCATTTATTGTTATCATTGTTTTTATTTATAGCTTAGATGAGTGGACGAGCTCACAGCCCGCCTGGTGTTCAGTGGTTACTGAAGCCCATAGACAACTACAACGTAAATGCGGCACCCAGCTTGAGATATAAGTTCTAAGGTCTCAGTAAAGTTACAACGGCTGCCCCACCCTTCAAACCGAAACGCATTACTGCTTCACGGAAAAAATAGGCAGGGCGGTGGTACCTACCCGTGCGGATTCAAAGAGGTCCTACCACCAGTAAAAAGTTCCATGAAAGCACGAAAATGATTGTCATTTTAGACTGGAGATAAAACTGCAAAAGTAGTTTTAATTATATCGCGAAAACCAAAAGAAATACTACGATACCGAATATACTCGAATACGTGCGAAAGATATACTAGATAGATACGTGCTAACAAAAGTGTGCTTTGAGGTTAATCTCCCAGGTGGACAAGTTGCCAGTGCTTAAATATATTTGTTTTATTTAAATCGGTTGTTAAACATAGAGTTGTTATTCAAGACGCGTGAGTATTCTAGTGTTACGAAATTCACATGTATAGATATCAGCATGTACTTTAAATCAGTAGTAGATAAGTGCAAGTGAATTAAATTGTTTCTAACAGAATTCTAAAAAGGAGGAGGTTCTCAATTCGACTATGTTTTATGTTCGTTACCTCACAACGTTTTTCTATGCGAGTCCATTTTTATGGGTTTTTTTAAAGTTGATGTTTTTGTTGGTCCAATTGTGATTTTTGCTTTGAGGAATTGGATTATTTTTGTATCAATACAAATTAAGCTTTACACCTAATCTTAAGGTGAACGATGACCTATATTTTGTCTTTGGATGGAATGCCTATGTATATCACAAACAAATACCTGATATTACCTAGTATTCGAAAGTATTTACCTATTACTGGAAGTTTCATTGTGGAAATTTAAAACTTCCGGTCGCGCACAGCCAATGTTGTTTCAACAAATCACAATCAAACCGCTGCTGTAATATTGAAACACTGGTCATTGTAAGTCCCAATTGTGTTGAGTAAATATTTAGTTCAAAGATTTAAATGTGAATTTAACTCACGTTGTAAACGAAAAATGGGCCCACTTTCGAGTACACTGTGAATCTTAATGCAATAATCACTAGAATAAACACGTTAGTTATTTGTCAATTGCTTTATTTTATTGGACACAGAATAATGCAATTAAAAATCAAACTGACGAATACAGGGGTTTGAGCAATTGTGGCATCCTGAAATATAAACTCACTAAAATAAGTCTTTAAGCTTCGTTTTCTCTTACTGAAAGTTTTTAGTCCGACTTTGGCTCTGAAACGGTTACCGTACACATTGTTCCAGGTTCGAGACTGGACACTATCACTAAGTTACTTTTTTTATTGCTATGAAGGCAGACGACGAAATGGCCCAACACATGGTAAGTGGTTACCATCTTTCGTGGACGTCAGCAACTACTCAAGTACCTTTCGCAAACCTCGTTTGAATAAAGACATATCATAGCGTAACTCACAAATTAATCAGGTTTCTTATGTTTTATTTTATTTTATTGTAATGATATTAGTATAACCGAAGTTCGGGATACTTTAGTTTTCGATAGTCACGGATGACGAAAATAATGTAATGACCATATAAATACGAAGATAAGCCATAAAAGCATTATTATTATTATAAAATTCTGTAAAGTTTTTTTTATTGGCTTTGTAGGCAGTCGAGTATACGGACCACCTGATAGTAAGTGGCTACCGATGCTCATGGACATCACCAATGCCAGGAGCACAGCCAAGTCGCTGCCTACCATTATATTTAATTTTCATCATTCATTATCATTCGTCACGTTTATACACAAACAGGTTGTAAGTTTCAATAAAGTTTAATCTTTAATCTTGTTATAATATTGTATATTTGAGGTGTCATTAGCGCCTCAGTGGGTCAATGTTGATTTACGCAACCTCATAACGATTCTAGTTCGGAGCATTGACACAGAACGTCGCACCCCTATAGTCCGTCAGTGAAATAAACAAGTTATTATAATATTAAATAATTTATTTAAATTTATATTTTTTTATGATCGTGTGTGTGTGTGTGTGGCAATACTAGGAAGAATCGGATATCAACATTAAATAATGACCAATAATATTACGTTTATAATTTACACATTAATTCGATAAATTTAAATAACTGGCTATTAGAAAAAAAAAACAAGATTTAGTTTGTTTTTCAAGATCATTAAATGTTTATTTTTAATATGTATTTAAAGCAAACACTAACGGCAGTTTTAGAATTTAAAACTTTAGCTCATTACTTCGTAGTCAAAACTGACAGGATGGTGGTCCTTATCCTGAAGGAGGGTTAATGTCAGATAGGCGACTGGTCGTCTGATAAGAGAACATGGTACGCTGACCTCATGAGATGTGAGACAAGGACAACAACATCAACAAAAAAAAGATGGTCCCCACGCATGCGGACTTGCAACATATGCTACCACCACCAATAGTAATGATACCACTTAGAACCTCTTAAATAATAGGAAAGTAGGTATAGGATACCGATACTGTAGTCGCATGATACGAAAATGCTCTACAAGAGTAAACAACCGGTTTCGCGGTCCGCATTTTGGTTACCAGATACATGAGTTCGAATCCTTCTTTTTTTAATAACTCCTTAGCCACAGAAATGCATAGTTGCTCGTGGTAGATGGCAGGTCGGCGATACGCACCCATGCGAACCTACACCTTGGCATCAGTGAATACCAATTGGCGATTTCAGTACGCTGGCTTTACTGGTGGTAGGACCTCTTGTGAGTCCGCACGGGTAGGTACCACCGCCCTGCCTATTTCTGCCGTGAAGCAGTAATGCGTTTCGGTTTGAAGCAACCGTTGTAACTGTACTGAGACCTTAGAACTTATATCTCAAGGTGGGTGGCGCATTTACGTTGTAGATGTCTATGGGCTCCATCAACCACTTAACATCAGGTGGGCTGTGAGCTCGTCCACCCATCTAAGCAATAAAAAAAACACTCACTGTGATTAGTGCGAGTTATTTAACGTTCTCGATAACGTAAAAGTTAACTCAAATTGTATGGAGTTGGAACGTTTGCTTACCTTTGCCGCTAGGGGCGCTGTTCTAACTGCATACAAATTTGAGTTAACGTTTACGCTATCGAGAACGTTAAAAAACTTGCACTAAACATACAGAAGACCGCTCTTGCTCATTCTCCCATATGTGAATCCTATAATCACTTTGACACTTGATTTGCTTAATACAAGCTCAAAGATTTCTCGTTCATTTCGGAATTAAATTTCTTGTATGGATCTGAGGGACTAGTATGTAGTAAGATTAGTTAGTAGTAGTATGCATACCTGATATGAGCACTCGCTATAATTCTGTCGCCGGCGAGCTGCCACACGTGAAACTCGTGAACGGCCATTACCCCTTCAACGTTTTTGAGTCGCCTTTGTATCGCGTCCACCTAAATTAATATATTTATCAATACCAGTGGTAGTCGAAATTCGACTATAATTAATTAAAATTATAAGTTTTCACACTATTATGATTCTATTGTAAAATACTATATTACTACTACTATATTATACTTCTATAATCACAGATTTCGCCAAGACTAACTCCAATTTAGACAAACATTAATAAAGACAAACAATATTATTCAAATTTTTTTTAAGGGATTTTATGACCTGGTAGCTAAGACCTTTAAGTCATGTCTTATTTTATATAACTCTATTCTCTATTTGACCACAGACTATAGGCAATAAGAAAAGTTGACAATAAACAGATAGGGTGCATGCGTGTGTGTGTCAAATACATGGTAGTGGGTGTAATGTTTTTTTTATTGATTTAATGTATTTTCTACGCAAATTTAAAAAAAAAATATTAACATTCTGCACTCCTTCTCTATATTCTCTATAAGTGTGGGAAATTTTGTACTACTCCGTCCGCGCAATATTCGTAAAAAGGGGTACAAAGTTTTTACTTCACGTATTAATTGCCTACTGGTCATTGAACGAATTGTGAGACCGCACGGGTCGGTACCAGCGTCCTGTTTAATGAGACCGCCTTTATACAATACAATTAAATGTTCGACCTCGACGTCTCAAGGTGCACAGCGGCATTCACGTTATGTTGTCTATGGACTCTTACGCTAAGTCATTCATCTATCTAAGCAATAAAACAAACTAAGAAACTCCAAGACGTTTTTTTCTCCACTTTTTTATTTATTGCTTAGATGGGTGGACGAGCTCACAGCCCACCTGATGTTAAGCGGTTACTGGCGTCCATAGACATCTACGACGTAAATGCGCCACCCACCTTGAGATATAAGTTCTAAGGTCTCAAGTATAGTTACAACGGCTGCCCCGCCCTTAAAACCGAAACGCATTACTGCTTCACGGCAGAAATAGGCAGGGTGGTGGTACCTACCCGCGCGAACTCACTAGGGGTCCTACCACCAGTAATTTGGACGTGACCTTGTCGTGATCATGTCAACAAACCAAAGAAGACGGTACAAAGAAAATTTTGCCAGATTAAACAGCCCGCGCGGCCTTACACTCGACACGTCAGCAAACAAAGAAATGAGTCAGATATGTTTTTAACGTTCGATAAATTATAACTAATGTTTCAGACGCGTGAATCATGAATGAGTGAAGCGTGTAATATAGTATCGCGGTTTGAGGTTGCCACTGTATACATTCATTTGTTTTGTAATCCTATATATTATCCTATATAAACAATGCGGTTGGCTTTGTGTGCATGCTTATAATAAGCAATAACCGTAAGTCATAGATATCCTCATCCTTGCGCCGATAATCCTCAACGCTGAAGGTCGTGGCCTCCTTTAATAAGTTTCTCCTGGATTATCTTACGCCAACCCTGCCTATCCTCGGCTGCGCGGATGGCATATAGACATAGACAAAGCGAATTTTGGCTGGTCACTATTAGCCATGATGTCAAAATCTCAACCGTATAATCTAACGGCTATCCCAACCTTGAAACTGGAATGCATGGTGGTTTGTCGGTAGAAATAGGCAAAACGGTGGTACGACACAGGCTAGTTAGTAAAAGCAATATATTAGTCCGATACTGAAAACATTGCCTCCAATGACAAGTAGTCCAACGCCATGATTATGTCTGTAATCAGGCTGTTTTATTTTTTCTTACCTATGCTGATAGCCTTGAGAGGCTATATCAGCTTCGCCCTAACGTGTAGGTGAGCTCACGGGGCTCAAACCGGAGTGGTGATAGCACTGGCCCTAGCAAGAGCCGTGCTTCGCAGAATCTACCACCGGATCGGAAACGCGACCCACTGAGAAGATCCGGCGAGAAGCTGTGGGCTGTCTGTTTAATTCGCTCGAATAATTAACTCCGGCTTTTAGAACAGAATGGCAGTTATCCAAAAGTTATTCACAACAAAAAAATACAACTAACTTGAATATGCGTGGGCACAGTTTGGAGGAGGATCAGCGAAGACTCCCTGAGCAGAGGCCACACCGAGGCCAGAATCAATATAACGAGCACTATACTCAGAGCAGGGTCGATGTAGTGTTTGTACTTCCACTCCGTCAGCCACACGACCAGGGCCGAGCCTACAACGATCAGGGATCCTGAAACAAAGGTTAAATGCTAAATTTTGTTCAAAAAATCAATACATTTAGATGCAAAAAAAAACCATCAAAAGTCCATGGACGACGGTAATCACTCACCACCCGGTGGGCCGCATACCCATCTGGTTACAAGGGCAATAAAAAAAACCTGTACTGCAGGATTTGAACACTGGTATAGTCACTTCGATTGACATTTTTCGCCTCTCTTTCGGTCTCTTGCCTAATAGGCATGGGTAGAGAATAACTTTAAACCGGTAACATTCACATATCTATGGACTCTGGTTTTTAAGTACTATGGTTGGTGGCCAGCGCTCTCCTTGTTTCTCCAGCACGAGTGGATTAACTCAAAGGCAAAGGAAATTTTGCTAACGGCCATCTGAAGGCCTCCATGGAAGCCCTAACAGCTCAATGGCAGCTGTTTCGAAGTTCATCTACAAGCCAATCGGAATCGCAACCCACCGATAATATCTGGTGAGAAACTCAATAGGCTGTATTTGTGAGTTAATAATTAAAACTACTTTTGTGGTTTAATCTTGCCTTTTGGATTATTTATTATTTTATTCGACGTTTCGAATACTCGTACTTTACAGTTTTCGTGGACACGAACGACTGTCCAAGTTAAAAGTAGTTTTAATTATGTGTACAGCTCGCGAAAATCTCCGAGTTAACTTAGGTCGAATTCTTCGGCGGGTTCGGCAAAGTTTACTTTGGTTACTGCTAACAGTAGCGGTGTTGGTATGGCAGCCCAAAATACGTCATTACGGATCCTCCCGATCCACTAACGGTGCTTTTAGATACCTCAAGCACCGGTCATCGTTCTTGTCGAACCCGTCGTGTCGCTTGCGACGAAGGGCTCGACGAGTAAATTAACCCACAGACACAGCCCACTGAGTTTCTCGCCGGATCTTCTCAGTGAGCCGCGTTTCCGATCTGGTGGTAGATCCTGCGAAGCAAAGCTCTTGCTAGGGTTCGTGTTAGCAACTTTGTCAGGTTTGAGTCCCGTGAGCTCACCTACTAGGTATGGTTACGCTGAAATAGCCTCTCGAGGCTATCAGCTTAGGTAGGAAAAAAAGAGTATGGCAACGGGTGGAATATATTGCTTATTTTGTTTGCTTATAACGTCAGCAAACACGCCATTTCAATGTACGTTACTGATCCAATATGATTCCTTATATTTGATGTAAACCTCACATTAATACATTCTTTGATAAATTACTCAGATTTCGCACCGGTGCATCTCATTCTCTTGACGCTTAAGAGCGCTGCAAAATGATCAATACTGATAGAATATTTCGTTCGGTTATATCTATGGCTTACAAATCTATTTCCCACCATACGGTAGTTAGATTAGTATTAGTGATAATCTGATCATTTATATTGGTAGGGAAAACAAAATCGAAGTAAGTCAGTATTCAGTATTAAAACAGTTCTTTCTATATTTATCGAGTGCCCCAGAAAAACAAGATAATTTGAGGAAAATTGTATTAAGAACTATGTCGGTTTGTCTGGCTGCAATTTCGAACACAGTGCTATCGTTTGCTAGGCGTAACAAATGTGTTTAAAGGAATGATGATTTTCAAGGTGTTCAAATCAGATATGTTCATGGTATATAGAATACTTTAAAAAAATTGACCTTAGCCTACCTACGTTGTTGACAAAGAACATATGTACCAACGTTGGTTGTTAAAACAGGCTACCGATTGAACACGCATCGAAGTCGCATCGTGGATATTTTAAAAAGCAAGCCTTCGACTCAGAGAAATTCCTACTACTAAGCCTACTCTTGATAATAATGTATTGGAACTTTAATACAGTTGTATTTTTTTTAAATAAATAGCTGTGTGGTCATTTTTACAAATACGAATTTTTATTTATTTTCACTGATATCATACGAAAATCGTACGATCCCTTAAGGTGCAATAGTCATCCAGCAACCACTAGATCAAAAATGCGAACAAACTGGTCGTCATTCATTGCTTACTTTGTAGTACTAGTGTAGTGATACTGTATTTATTAATCGCTTCATCCTCATCATCATCATTATTATCAGCTTACAGTCGTTCACTGCTGGAAATATTAACTAATTACAATTTCTAATTACTAAATAATTATTTATTACAATTATAATTATACTTATAAAATTATAATTTGAGCTTCGCGTCTTTTCATCTACATAATAATATTTCTTTCTGACCAACCTTCGCAAATAAACTATACAGTGATATTACAACATCAATAATAAAACTGATCATGTGATTTTTATCGATTAGATCGAATAACAACAGTTTTGTAATGACACCTGTAATCCTTAATTAACCTTCGGAGTTTTTATATTTCATTAATGGGCAACCGTAGTAAGCCTAGAGATATGTTATAGTAAATTATTTTTGTTGATAAGATTGCTTCGTACGAATTGGAACAAGGTCGCGAATAGTTCGCGTGTTTGCTTTTTTTGCGTTGAAAAAATAATGTCAATGACACTTTGTACGACGGGCTTAAGGAGTCCAGCGTTAGACTTGATGGTTATTTAAATCAGACACTCGTAGGTATCATGTCAGTGATTTGAATTTGGAATACAGTTAAATATTTTTCTTCTTCACGCTTCATAATTTTTTTAATGATTCATTGTTAAAAGTATTCATGTACTTATAGGCGAAAACGCGAGGAGTGAGGTTGTGTGAATTGTTTTATTTTGTAAATTTAATTTTTTAGCACGTTGAAACATCTAATATATATATTTTTTTTTATTGCTTAGATGAATGGACGAGCTCACAGCCCACCTGATGTTAAGTGGTTACTGGAGCCCATAGACATCTATAACGTAAATAGGCCACCCACCTCGAGATATAAGTTCTAAGGTCTCAGTAAGTTACAACGGCTACCCCCACCCTTCCAACCGAAACGCATTACTGCTTCACGGCGGAAATAGGCGGGGTGGTGGTACCTACCCGTGTGGACTCCCAAGAGGTCCTACCACCAGTGATTACGCAAATTATAATTTTGCGGGTTTGATTTTTATTACACGATGTTATTCCTTCACCGTGGAAGTCAATCGTGAACATTTGTTGAGTACATATTTCATTAGAATAATTTGTACCCGCCTGCGGGATTCGAACACCGGTGCATCGCTACATACGAATGCACCCGACGTTTTATCCTTTAGGCCACGACGACTACAATAGTGTTCAAGTTAGGTTAGGCTTATTAACCAATTAGTATGTGAGAAAGTGCATAGTGGGGGAAAATGAAACAGTCCTTCGACTTGGCTTCTCGGGTGCTCTCAAAAATTCCACTGAAATCTTAGTAAATAACCACCATTTTACTGAAGTTTTCTTCTCAACTCATCTCGTTTCATTTCATTTCATCTCAATAGATAACAGTCTCAAATAATTCAACTTTATTGCATTTCGCACCATATCATTTTTAATTTTTCATATTATATAACATGTATGTGTGTGTATTTTATAATTGAAGATTTTTAAAAACTACAATCTGACCAGAATAGCATTACAAGAAGCCAATTGCCATACTCAAAAACAAATTCGAAGAATATATTAGTGTTTTAATATTTTATCGACTATAGAAATTTGACTAGTAGCTTTTAACATATCTTCGAATGATAAGCATAACTGTAAAGTAATTAGTCAATTGAGACTAATTTGAATAGAGAATAGGTAATTAGCCTTTCATGCATATCACAAGACTAGAAAATCATAAAATTTAAATGCTTGATTTCGTGCTTACAAGTACAACGGTCAGTCTCATCGCTCATAGATTTGTGTTTGGATCTATATGTCAGGAATTAAAATTATATTCCATAACAAAGTCGACTCATCCTTACTAAACAACAAAAAAAAACATTTATAGCAGGTACTGCGGTGATGTTAGTATCTAAATATGTACTATCAAGCACAAAAGTATTCGATTCCTGTTGAGAATTCACAACACATAAAGAATCCAAAAGTAAATAACTTTTAAATGATGCTTTATTTGAATACAAATTGTTGTTTTACGTTAAGCTCACAGTATCTCAAGTCTAAAAATGAACTTATTGGTACAAGGTCAAGTTGACCGAATCTTACCTTTGATTCAAAAGCATTTACAAGAACGTTAGATAACCAACATACAATCGAAGTTATAGTTCTGTTTCTAAATGTATTATTACATAGAATGTACTCTGTTCTCTTAAAACAAATGTCAAATAAGCCAGCACAGATAATCAATTAAACTAAGAATAAAATGTAGTAGCGGCCCGCTCCGGCTCCGCTCAGGTCTTTATCAAAAATTTCAACGATATTTGGTGTTGTTTTATTTTTTTAAATAAAACAACACTTATTGTGGCGTAGCTATAATAGTCAGACATATGCTGTCGCGACACTTGTTGTAAGTAATAATGTGTTCTACAAAGTCGTAGTACGTTATTTTATTCTATCATCAATAGTTTTCGCAGCGCACGCGCTGTAAACAATATTTTAGGTATTTTTTACACGTAGGATACATTATTGGAGTTTTAGTAAGGGTCCCTATTTGTTTTCAAAAAAGATTATAGCCTATGTCACTCGGGAATAGTGTAGCTTCCAAGCAGTGAAAGATTTTTTCAAATCGGTTCAGTAGTTTCGGAGGCTATTCAATACAAACAAACAAACAAATCGTTCCTCTTTATAATATTAATATATAAGTATAGATAATTCTTGTTTCATTGTTTTTATTACAATATCACTGTAATAAAAACAAACAAATGAAAAGGGTATTATTGTATACAATCAGTCACAGTGCATGCCGAATCAGTCGTTTCCTTATCGAAAGTGTTTCGTCAATGTCAATGTCAACGGGTCAATTAATTCCAAGGTTTTAAGTTAGAAGCTATCAATGTTACCGGTAATTGCGTAAAGGCGACCTTTACAGTATTATAAATGACCAATATTAAAACTATCAAACTAATTTATTAACGACTAGATAGATATGCCCTGCGTTTAATGAGGATTTGATTTACAATAAAACGTGTTATATTGTGAGTATAATGAAATTATCATGCGGGTTAAAATATGAATTACAAAACATTTTTACATTTTATGATTTAACACAACGGCTAAAACAACAAACTTGAGTGATAGACATCGTCACGTAACGAAAATAGCAAAAAGCGTTTTTCGCCTGGCTTTTGACTTGACCATAAACAAATTTAACCCTTAAATGCAACCTAGTAAACACTAAACTTGGATGCACTGCTTACTGTTAATTAACATCTATAAATCTAGATTCTATTACAAGAGCTTTAAGGGAGAAATTTAAATAATCCCATTTAAATACAATACTACTGCAATACAGTTCTTTTAAAACTCATGATCGAATTTTTCGTAAACGTTTTTTGAGAGGTGGGCTAATTTAAGCACACGTGAATTACATGAAAACAAATTACGATGCACAATAATTTATGAGCGGGCGATTCGTGGTAATCCATACGTATGTAAGGGCTATACAATCTATGCAAATACAGAAAGTAAATTCGTCGTATTGGTGGGGATTCCCAAACACGCGTTTTGTTTTTCCGTTCAATACTTTATGTTCATTATTATGCGCCCGTTTTCAAGGTTCGAGACTGGACATGTTACCGGTTTTACTAAACTAACTAACTATACGTAACATTATTTCACGATCGGCAATTTTCTCGACAATAGACCTTCTAGCGCATTTTTTAATTTACTTTTAACAAAAACGAAAACAGATAAAAAAAACTGGAATGTTGTTGGGACTATTTTTTTTTTTACTAGCGGTAGGTCCTTTAGTGAGAGTGCCCATGGCGCGCACATGGCGGTACCTAGGTCCCCGCCCAGCCGGAGTGGAGGAGCTCGGAGTCCGCACGGGTAGGTACCAACCACCGCCCTGCCTATTTCTGCCGTGAAGCAGTAATGCGTTTCAGTTTGAAGGGTGAGGCAACCGTTGGACTGTTAAAAACTGAGACCTTAGAACTCATATTTCAAAGTAAGGTTTCATTTATGTTGTAGATGTCCATGGGCTCCAGTAACCACTTAACACCAGGTGGGCTCTGAGCTCGTGCAACCAACGAAGCAATAAAAAAAAACTCACCCAAAGCGTCGGACAGTACGTGAAGGAAGACTCCCTTCATATTCATATGTCCCGGATCACTGGAACTCTTGCAGCTCTTGTGATTCTGCGTTTTGGCCTTCTTAACCATTTCATCGGTTTCCTCGTTGTCCGTTGAGTTATGACCGAGTGCTCTGTCAGCGTTGCTGTTCACTATCTCAGTGAGGTGTCGGACATTCGAAGGTGGTGGAACTCCACCGTGCGAGTGACCGTGTCCGCCGTGATCTGTTGATTAAAAACTATATGTATAAATTTTTCTATCTTTTTCTTACATTCCATAGTTGAATTAATTCACAGCCCATCTCATGGTCCGTGGCTACCAAAGCCAATAGATATCCCAAATTGTAAGCTGTGATCTCTTTCAGACATTCTTTAAGCTGTGTGCTTAGTGCGAGTTTTTTTACTTCTCGATCGAGTAAAACTTAACTTAATTATTATTTTTTCTGCCTAAGCTGATACCTTGAGAGGCTATGTCAGAGTAACCTAACAAGTAAGTGAGCTCACGGGGCTCAAACCTGACGACGTTGCTAACTCTTGCTTCGCAGATTCTACCACCGAAGCGGAAACGCAATCCACTGAGAAGATCCGGCGAGAAACTCAGTGGGCTGTGTCTGTGGGTTAATTTACTCGTCGAGCTCTTCGTCGCAAGCGACGGGTTCGACGCAAAACAATGATCGGTGCTTGAGGTACCTAAAGCACCGTTAGTGGATCAGGAGGATCCGAAATGACGTGTTTTGGGCGACGTCGCCGCATCGACTGTTTGGCATGACATTCTTTAAGCTGTGTGCTTAGTGCGAGTTTTTAACTTTTCGATCGCGTAAAAGTTAACTCAAATTTGTATGGAGTTAGAACAGCTTCCCTTCGTTTGGCGCTAAAGCATCGCACTAAACACACTGATCTTGGTAGGGGGTCTTGGGAGTCCCCACACGGGTAGGTACAACCGACCTACCTATTTCTGTCGCGAAGCAATAATGCACTCCGGTCTGAAGAAAGGGGCAGCGGTTGTACTATAGAACTGAGAATTAGAACTTACTCCTCGAGATCGATGGCAGCATTCACGTTGTTGATATCTATGGGCTGCGGTAACCACTTAACGTCAGGCGAGCCATGAGCTCGTTCACCCGTATAAGCAATAAAAAGACAATCTGTGATGAAAACAACACCAACTGACGAGTGATGTAAATAATAGTAACCTATTAAAATCTACATGCATACACAATACGCAGTATACATATTTATATGATGTGTTGGTATATTAAAATTAGGATTCTAGATAAATTCCAAAAGGTTTCCGAGAGTTATTCAAAATTATTGATTAATAAAATGGTTATTTCATGTATGTTATAATAGTAGTAGTGGTTAGTAGTAGGTGCATGTGATTATCCACAATATCTTCTACATATCCCTGAATCCCGTTAACAAAATTCTCAATATCAGTTTGCATATCTAAAAGCTCCGAAACTTCACACGGTCAGTCTAACCGAGCAAATTCACCAGGTCGACGGAAGATTATCCTTTTGTCGATTCCTCCAAATACCCTTTATATTTTATTATTTATTGTTAAATCTATTAATCGCAGTAAACAGGTCAATAACCCTTTCAAAGACACACAAATCGTTTCGAAATGGACATCAAGGATTTACGCAATCGCATACTGAGGCGATATCCGATCATCGTGTATTGGTCACAAGTTTTTCGTAAAAACTTTTGTTTATTAAGTATTGGGAATATTTGAAGCGGAAAATCCTATTTTCTCGGTACAACATTCAAAGAAATAATTCGATTCGTAAAGGTTCGAAACATTCATATGCTATTTGTAATAACACACTGTGTTGATGAAGCCTGCTAAAAACCACAACAGACCAATGTATGTGGTGTATTTTTTTTTTTTTTTTTTTTATTGCTTTGATGTGTGGACAAGCTCACAGCCCACCTGGTGTTAAGTGGTTACTGGAGCCCATAGACATCTACAACGTAAATGCGCCACACACCTTGAGATATAGTTCTAAGGTCTCAGTATAGTCACAACGGCTACCCCACCCTTCAAACCGAAACGCATTACTGCTTCACGGCAGAAATAGGCGGGGCGGTGGTACCTACCCGTGCGGACTCACAAGAGGTCCTACCNCTGGTGTTAAGTGGTTACTGGAGCCCATAGACATCTACAACGTAAATGCGCCACACACCTTGAGATATAGTTCTAAGGTCTCAGTATAGTCACAACGGCTACCCCACCCTTCAAACCGAAACGCATTACTGCTTCACGGCAGAAATAGGCGGGGCGGTGGTACCTACCCGTGCGGACTCACAAGAGGTCCTACCACCAGTCATTACGCAAATTATAATTTTGCGGGTTTGATTTTTATTGCACGATGTTATTCCTTCACCGTGGAAGTCAATCGTGAACATTTGTTGAGTACGTATTTCATTAGAAAAATTGGTACCCGCCAGCGAGATTCGAACACCAGTGCATCGCTCGATACGAATGCACCGGACGTCTTATCCTTTAGGCCACGACACTGTATAAGTCAATAGTATAAAATCAAAATAACCGGTGTGATTATTATAATAAAAAACCATTCATTCGACAATAGTTGAATTTGGTTTTACGTCGCATTAAATTTGGAATGAGCAACACGAATTGTATTTAAAACGGTAGCTAACCTTACACGGGTCGTATGGAAATCTATACTAATAAAAAAATCCACAGTGGTTTTTACGGATATTCCGTTATAACTACTGAACCATGCGTCCGATTGACTTGAAACTTGGTATCCATGTAGAATAGAAAAGACATGTACATGAATATAAATACATAGAAATAATAATACAATAATACATAGAAATACATACATAAATACATAGCAAATACATGTACTTAATGGATAGGCTAGTATTTATATGGACTCCCTACACCAGTTGCGGGGGCGTTAAAGATGAGAATTTTTGTGGGCTGAGAAATAATAATGTTAATTTTAAATACCCAACGAACCGGACGGGTACAGCTAGTATGCTGATAAATCCAGTTCCTGTCATCGTTACGATATATTACTATACAACAGTGTTTAAGAATTCATTATTAACGTTTACTATCAATAACAAACATTTTGACACGCATACTTTTATTCAAATCGAATTTATATATGTACATACAAATAAACAGACATTTGCCTAAAACGCGTTTATGGGATCTGACCTTCTTGGACATCAACTTGTAGGATTATATCTTTTATTAACCCAAGATACATAATTTAGGGGGAGTGTGAAAGTAGCCCTAGTGATTGATAAATTAAAGAGCGGACGATTAGCGTGGTATGGACAGGTGATGCGTAGAGAGGAGACGCATGTGACTAGGAGATGTATGGAAATGGCAGTGGAAGGTAGAGGTAAGAAGAGGTCGTCTGAAGAAGACATTGATAGTGTGTGAATGACGATATGAGAAAGAGAGGAGTGTCGAGATGACGGCTGATAGAAGAGAATATAATAGAAAAATTCGCTGTGCCGACCCCACCTAGTGGGATAAGGTGGAGACAAAAAAGAAAATTAATCGAAGATACATAAACTTAAATAGAGTTTGGCTACTTACCGTGAAACAGAAAAAGTCCTATAATGTTCAACAGTAGACCTAGACTGCCGACAGCGACAAGGAGTTTCGGGTTATGTATGACTTCGAACTCTATAAACCTCTTAACGGCCTCAACGGTAATACTGAAGCAAAGAGCCACCAAGAATACTGCGTTCACGAGAGCGCCCAAAACTTCAGCGCGAGCCCAGCCGAAAGTGTTCTTTGACCATTTCTTTGGTGACATCTATAGGGAACGAAATATTTAAGGTTATTTGTAGGCACACAAGCAAACAGCCCATCTGATGGTAAGTTTTACTGATGGTAGGACCTCTTGTGAGTCCGCACGGGTAGGTACCACCGCCCTGCCTATTTCTGCCGTGAACCAGTAATGCGTTTCGGTTTGAAGGGTGGGGCAGCCGAACTATACTGAGACCTTAGAACTTATATCTCAAGGTGGGTGGCGGCATTTAATGAGCTCCGGTAATCACTTAACACTAGGTGGACCGTGAGGTGTCCACCCATCTAAGCAAAAAATTAAATAAAAAAAACAGTCACCGTCGCTCGTGGACATCAGCTATGCCAGGGCTAAACCGATGCTTTCCGAAACGTTCAAAGACCTTATGATTACTTTAAGTGGTGCGTTTATTCAAGTAACAATTTATAAGTAAATTTACAGACCAATTTGATGCTCGCATTATCAACAGAAAAATGTCTTTGCCTCATAGGTTTAGTGACTTTAACTACCGTATCCGCGAGGCAAGCATGCAACTCCCGGTCGGAGTCTGTATCCTTGTTAAAAAAATTCATGATAGGCTTCTTGTCTATTTGTTCTTAATATCTCGTATTTATTTGTAATTTTAACACATAAGAAAGAACTTGTAACTTGATGACGTTCAATGCTGAACTTCTAGTTGATTGCTGATTCATTTTCTAATCGCAACAAATCACAGAAGCGTGTCATTGTCCACTATCATGATATTATAGTAATATTTGTATGTCTCATTGACTTTTATTGATTTTGAAAAGGCACGCTACACTCAGTTCGTGTTAAAAAAAAGTTTTATTTATTTATAAAAGTCGATCAGGAACTCTGCTGTGTGCACACGTTGACGCACCAGCTGATGACTATTAGCATTTTATGTTTAATAATATATTTCTGTTTACACATATACTTTCGAAAATGAGTAGGCTTCACAGTTAACCGTAAAATAAATTTATATAAAAAAAAATAGAGCACGAATCAAATTAACATGAATATCCTTAAACAAAAACGGTCACGTGTGATTCATAGTTTCATTTTAAATTGCAAAATCAATACGTGATTTTTGGCTAACAATTGACACAACAATACGCATATTATTTAAAATATCGCCTAAAGTAGGTCGTTACGAAATCTGATCTTACATTGATTTTATTCAGTTCTGAATGCACCCATACAAAATTATCTTTGCATTGTGCAACTAAGTATTAAGTACTAATCTAAATACGTATCGATTGATAATGAATCGGTGACCACCAATCACGAGTTGGAATGTGATTAACATTGACAGATTTATTAATAGATAAGTGAGCAATTAAAATGGATTCAACGTTTGGTTTTTGACTGGCATCGATAAGTCAACGAGCGGTCTACCTAGTAGTGCATACATAGACAAAATCCAAATATCTGTGTGCTTAGTGCGAGTTTTTTAACGTTCTCGACAGCGTAAGAGTTAACCCAATTTTGTATGCAGTTGAAACAGCGCCCCTAACGGCAAACGTAGGTAAACGATCCCATTCCATACAGCTAACTTTTACGCTATCGAGAACGTTCAAAAACTCGCACTAAGCACACAGAAAGCGAATATTTTCGCAAGCCACCATTAGAAGTGAGGTTGAAAATCCCACGATATCATCATGCTGGAATATAATCTCATATAGAGAATTCTCTATCTTGTCACCTCTTCTCTTCTGCGATGCTATAAGCCCTTGAGTATCAGCTATACTATCTCATAAAAAAAAACACATGATATTTTTGCGGTAGAGATAGGCAAAACAGCAGTATTTATTTATTTAATTTAATGAATAAAAAGACAGTGGCGTGGCAATAAGGCATTATCTACCAGTCAACAACTGATGTAGAGAGTCCTGTGGTATGTGCATTCCTTTTTGAGAGTAAGAGAAAAATAATAATAAAATATTATATACATATAAATAAACACATACACAGTATTGACCCCTGACTGCTCATATGGCACTTCCTACTGCAAGTAATTACGGTTTTTTTTTTTATTATACTAAACTGAGCCACATTTTGTTGACAATATCTAAATTATATAGATGCACCGGTGATTGTCAAACCTTTTACAAAGAGAAATTCGCAAAGAAAAATATAGGTTTGAGAGTTGTTTACTTATTTTGTAAAATACACTGTAATATTGTTTGTGATGATAATTTTGAATGTAAAATAAAAATAACACTGCAAATCACATAAGAATATTTTAATGAAAAATATCTAGATTTCTAAAGTTTGGCAGCACACAAAAGTGTTGCTTGGTTGAGAATCACTGGTATACACAATATCTTGTTATAAGTTGATGGTATCATGCCAATGCAACATTCCAAATTTCCACTGGTAAAGGATGCATGAACACATTTAAAAAAAAATCATTTTACAAATTACTATATATTATATTAAAATAGGCATATCTAATTATTTATTTAATTGTTTTAAAATAACGTAATGAAGTTTTATTTATCAAACAAAAACAAACGTCTCATTAAGCATAGTTCTATTAAATATTTAATATATGATAAGAAAATTTAACAATGAATGTATCATTGACCATTTAAAATGGAGTTAAGCAAATAAAGAAAACATGTATATGCATATTGAACATTTACATTTTGTCTATTTTAACTGACTTCTTTGACATGCGGAAAATTCTTAGAATATGTATCTATCAGTCTATAAGAAAGTCGTTCCACCAGATATATCAATACAATCATGATTATTTATTTATCTGAGTCGGGAACAAGATAAACAAATACATTGAATGTAATTTCGCTGTCCAAGTTTTATTATGAGATCAAAGTCTCAACGGATAGAAATAAAATGAAAAATATGTTAGAAAAAGATAAAAAAGGCATCCTGGGGCAAAGCCACAATGGAAATTTATTTGAGAATGTAAAAATGCAATTTAAGCTTTATAACGATTATTAATAAAATGTATGTGTCAGTCAAGATAATAGGGGCATTTTTTCAAAAAGACGAGAAACGGTACTTTCTGCCTTGAAAGTACGAAGCGAACTTAATTTCTTATCCTGGAGTGATCAAAATAATTACTGATATAATTAGGTATGGGATATACTTAAATAATTATTTAAAAAGTTACTTACTTTGACTGACAAGAACGCGATGATAAGTGCCGCTACATCACTCAACATATGAAATGAATCAGCTACAAGGGCCATTGAATTGGTTATGTAACCCACAATCAGCTCCACAAAGAAGAAGCCTCCTGTTAGACATAACATGCACAGGAGACGACATTTCTTTCCTGAATACCTCCCCATAGTTCCTGCATGCAAAATACATACATATTAGATGTTGTAAAAATAAAATCCAATATAGACTATAGTATTGATATTGAGATTTAAAAAAAAGGATTAGCATGTCTATCTATATATTTCTGAAAATGGATTTTTTAACATGTTTTTTTTATTTTCAGGTGAATATGCTGCGATCCAATTTTTAAGTAGTTATTGAAGCCCATAGACAGTATGAATGCTACCAATAATATGGAGACATGATGTTGAACTAAAATATATTGCAATAGTATTCCATCCTTCACAAGGAATGTATCACTATGTGTCAGACGTAGGTAAGAAAGTGGTGTGGTGGTAACACATACGGCAGCAATATTAGATAGTTACTTTACACCCAACCACCAACAAAAATTGTACTTTAAAGGGTAGAAGACTCAACTTTTATGAATAAAGTCAAAAGCTATATGCTGTCTTCGTGAATGTATGTATTCACTTGAATGTTAAATAAACTGGTAGTTTTAAAACGATTTGGAAATTTAATGGCAAAATTAAAATGAATTTAGATTATTTCAGTTTTTTTTATGTAGATAACTTGCAAAAACCACATCAGAATCTATTATATATCGATCTGTATGCAAATAATGTATTTATGGCATACCACAAAATCTATGAAACGGTGTTTAAAATTTTACAGAATTTTTGTATTTAATAATATATTATTGAGAGTATGTAATACAGTCACAGAGATGTAAGTTACTGGGCCATTATCAATGTGTGTCTATTTGCTTCAAAATCATTAAGTTTACTTTTTTCATAGATCTACCAAACAAGTACATACTTAGTATTTATAGAAATGCTATCACTAAATGTTTTAATTACCATAATTAGGACTCACCTAATCAGCATGAAAATTGAATTTATTATTATTAATTCAAATAAAATATATTAGGGATGTTTTCATTTTAATGTATTGTAAGCAATACAATGTATTCAAGTATAATTTTAATTTTTTCCCTGATGGATGATATTTGTCGAGAGTTGATACTAGTTACTAGAATTTAATTAAAACTATTTCATTTGTTAACTTGTATTTATTTTCCAAAATTAAACCAATTAGTTTCATTATCAAATTTGTATTTACAAATTTGTGGCAACTGTATGAATGGCAAGGATTAATATTTTATAAATTTATAAAAAACATATGATCAGTTAAACATAGAGTTAATTCTTGGAAACTGTGAGTCATAAGCTGTGTGCAACCTATTTGTTCATTATTTTATTAATAAAAATGAGTATTACTTACAAATGCTGAAGCTTCAATTTGGTTTAGATGTTAACAACAACCAATACCCATCAGTAGAAACGTCATTTAAGAATTCGAAATGTGCAAATTCATTTGTCGACAATAGGTTAATGTTCCAATACAATATCGATTTAACTTCACACAGGCACAAGCATATACGTCCACCGCCGCGTTGACGAGGTAAACATCTAACAAATAATTAACTAGCACGTTCAAATAATATCTGAAGTGTAATTTAGGAAGGCAAATGTGACAATTTTTATGTTAAATTTTTTTTTTAATTCTCGAAAACCCAAAGTAATGTTGTGTTTCGTATTTACAATAGATACTGGTACCCACTTGTTTATTCTATGAAGGTATATTTTTACTTTAAAGTTTATATTATTTAATAAAATTTGGTCGATTCTACTGTGATATCTAGACACGAACGTAGTGATTAAATTCTCATTGACGTATTGTACTGCCAAAACTGTTCAAAACTTCAAAAGTGCCGAACTGCCAAACACATTGCAAAGAGTATGCTCTTTTTAAAAATAGGTAGGCACCACAGACTACTACAAGCTAAGAAGCTTGGTAGGAATCTATTACATCTACTACTTCAATCATCAGTTATGTTTTATTTGCTGAATTTCGCCGAGTTTACCACCATATTCAAATCGCTCGAAGTCTCAGTGGGTTGTTTCTTATGGGGTAAAAGTACTGAAATTGGCCAGAGAGGACCCGATGAGGCATGTTTAGAGCGGCTTTGCGTTGTCCTGTCACGTGCGTCGAGGATATAATTCGAGGTGGCCACAATAAGAGGGTACAGACTTGATCCTGTGGACTGAACGATAACGGTCACCGCCGCCCTAAGCATGTATTTTTTATTATTATTATTATTAGTTTCCTACCTAAGCTGATAGCCTTGAGATGCTACATCAGCGTCGCCTTAAATAGTAGGTGAGGTCACGGGGCTCAAACCTGATGACGTTGCTAACACGAACCCTAGCAAGAGCCGTGCTTCGCAGAATCTATTACCGGACTTGGTACCGGACTTGGACTTATTACCGGATTGAGGAGCCACGCCGCCCAACATCTCCCGGTGTGACAGCTCCATGCCTGAGATTCGCATCACACAGCGTGCGGTCAGGCAGGAGCTTCGGCTTCTTGATGTCCATAAGTCGAGTGGGCCAGATTGCATCCCCGCAGTGGTTCTAAAAACATGCGCCCCTGAATTGACACCCGCGCTAACGCGTCTATATCGCCTCTCGTACCAAGGCTTCAGCCCATTTATGTGTGAGGTATACAAGAAGATCGCCAGCTGAGCGACCATGACGGAAACCGTACTGCCGGTCACTGATCAGCTGGCGATCCTCAAGATACTTAAGAAGTTGGATGTTTATGATTCGCTCCATCACCTTGGAAAGCAAGGAATTCGCGTAGGTATGTAATTCGAGGGGTCCGACCGGTCACCCTTCTTGGGGATAGGGTGGACATGAGCAGTCTTCCATGAAGACGGAACCCTGTTGGT